CCCAGGCTCCAAACACACACCAGCTCAGAATGCTAACTATTTTAGTCCATAATTCACTGTGTGACCTGCGTCGTTGTGGTGTCTGGAAACTACATGTAAGTTACTTCAGCATGACATAATGATAATAATTATTGGATCACCAATGCAAAAACGAATACATGTGCATGTACAGGCAGCGTGGTGCACAATTGAGAGGAATACATGTACATGTATATGTAGCACAGAGGCTGTGCGCTTAATAACCTACAATAGTGCTCAAATGCCCGGAATGGGCAGAGCGTAGTACGCAAGAGGTACACAAAAGGAAGTAAATAGGGCTGTGTTTTTTTTTTTGTTGTAACTCAGAGCACGTGCACGTGCTGTCTGATGATTGGTTTTTGGCAACTTTTTGCCATGAAACTCTGAGTTACAAAAAAAACACAGCCCTATTTACTTCCTTTTGTGTACCTCTTGCGTACTACGCTCTGCCCATTCCGGGCATTTGAGCACTATTGTAGGTTAAGGCGCACAGCCTCTGTGCTACATACATGTATACATGTACATGTACATGGCATGTCGTATAACAGGGGTACATTATACAGCAGGTTCCCTAGACATTTAGTTCAGAAATGATGCGGTAAATAGTAGTTCTCTCACACCTCACATTTGCAACAGCAAAACCACAGTGCAGGGTCGACTGCGGACAGCCACATTGCCAGACAAAAATAAGAGCGTGTGAAAATTTAAAATGGGTATACAGTCATGTACTAGTACATGTACATGTACATGTAGGTCACACCAGTCCACACGTCCTACATGTACAGTCATGTACATTGTTTTTTTTTGTTTTTTTCGTGTTTCAAGCCTCTTGTACGGGCAAACATACCATCTTTATCAATGATAGAAATGCAACTAAAATCCAAAACAATTTTAAAATGTAAAGAACTCAAAGCAAATAAAAACAAATCAAAACAAATGAAAAGTATAACTCGGATGGTGAGCCAATTAAATTATGGTGAAAAAGGAGGACAAAATGTTACGAGTTATGACTAACTGTCCACCATCTGGTTACGTTGGTGGACAGTTAGTCATAACTCAAAACATTTTGTCCTCCTTTTTCACCACAATGAAAAGTACATACAGTTACTGCTTCATGCTGTCAAACTAACAACAGTACTGTACATGTGTAGTATCCCTGCCTTGCTAGTACTGAACTGTAGCTGACTACTACATCTATATCTACTGACCTCTAATCATGTCACATGTACACGTACATGCACTGCATGACTCTTGTCACTCCTTTACTGACAAGCCTGCAAAGCTAATTATATCACTTCTCACCACTTGTGCTTCTCTTGCGCTTGCTGGATTGCATACTACATATCTTTGCTAGTTTAGATCATCGCACCTGTATGTACATGTAGAACTAACACCCACATGTTGTACTGTACCTCCCTGACCCTGACTGAGGTCATGCGGACAGTCATGACCCTTTCTAGATCCTGTTTGCATCCATTTGCCAAATTGCCGCAATGCCCTCCTGGCCTCTGTTCTCCTCCAAAGTTCCGTTTGCTTCTTTCATCCTTATACATTTAGATAATGTTGCTATGCCTTCCCAAGTTCTGTTTGGACTGACACAACAGACTTTTGCCCTTTTTCATGACTCATGGCTCATGCAGACTCTATGATGATCTCCTTCCTTTTCGCCCTATAAAAGCTGCCATGCTTTACTCATTTCTTCAGAGCAGAGCAGAACATAACAGAACAGAACAGAGTCCCTCCTGGCAGATTGAGCCGGAGCAGTTGTATTCCTTTCAGAGTCCCTCCAGGCAGATTGAGCCGGAGCAGTTGTATACATAACTTCAGGCAGATTGAGCCGAAGAACATAATATTAACCAGTCTTCTTGTGTGTGCCTCCTGATACCACTCGGCGACCTATTACACTGGTGGCAGCGGTGGTTCAATTTTATAATTGCTAGATTCGAACCAACCTAGTATCTGTATTACACTGGTGGCAGCGGTGGTTAAAGTTAACGACGTTCCTTTGTAAGATTCGAACCTACCTATTACACTGGTGGCAGGCGTGGTTAAAGTTGTCCTTAGTCAATCGTTGTCGTCAGTTTCGTTATAAGTACCTATTACATTGATGGCAGCCTCGAACGATGAGCGGAAAGCACCGTTAATTGGCCCCCACCGCGGTTCTGAACCCATGACGATCTGACAACGATGCAGAATCTCGGTTCGCCAGTCCATCCGAACAGCAGATCGACGCTGCGACGCCCGCGTTCCGGCAAAGTGGATCACCATACTTCTCCAGCGAGCTCTCATGCCCTCCGGCATGTCCCTGTAGTACTACCGGTATATATACGACCCAAGCGACGTCGGCCCTTTCGTCTCCGTCCCTATTGCCGATCCTGCAAGAAAATTGGCCATGACATAGCGTATTGCTATCGTCCTCGCGCGACACGACCCATCTTCACTTCAACCCAGGTATGTCACCCTACTTGCTGTATCGCAACTCTATCGCCAACCCTTTCAAATGCACCTGTTACTAACGTGAGTACATATGCCACCCCTACCATGCAAGCTCCGCCATCCCGTGATTGTTTCCATTCTGTGATCATGATCATTGCTGCCATATTCCTCTCACTAACTCGTTCTGCTGCCAAAGTTGTTCCCCTGCTAACATATCTCACCTTTAGTTTGATTGCTACACTACACGCGATACACAAGGCCCTCCACGTCCCTTCAGCAAATCCATCCCATAGACAATCCCACTCCCAGTCCCCGCCCCACCATTCGATCAACAACCTAGGACTCACAACCCTCCATGTACCTTCATGTACGTCCAGATACATGCAGTACACAGTTCTAGATCACCCAACATTTCGCCACACTGCAGCTTCCGTACAACCGCTTTCTCAAGGTTTTGATCACAAAGTTTCCTAGCCTTTTCATCACCCATCCCGATCATGTCCACCCCGTAACGACCAAGCAATCAGTTCAGACCCAAAATACTGTATACCCTGCAAGCACGCACTCAAATAACCAGTCCATGTAACATGATATACCGCCACATGATGCGCGAGTCTACTTTTCCCGTTGTACCGTCCCAGAGAGACGCGAATGAAGAACTGTTACCGTCCACAGTGACGCGATTTTACACATCCTTTTTTTTACCGTCCGAAATTTTTCCCGCTCCACAGAGAGACAGGTCCTTCACACATTATACACACAGGGTCCCTACTTTATTATCAGTCTACCAAGCCTTCATTAATACTTTTGAAAAATCACGAGGGCGTGATTATCTGTAGGAAGGGAGGGTGTAGTATCCCTGCCTTGCTAGTACTGAACTGTAGCTGACTACTACATCTATATCTACTGACCTCTAATCATGTCACATGTACACGTACATGCACTGCATGACTCTTGTCACTCCTTTACTGACAAGCCTGCAAAGCTAATTATATCACTTCTCACCACTTGTGCTTCTCTTGCGCTTGCTGGATTGCATACTACATATCTTTGCTAGTTTAGATCATCGCACCTGTATGTACATGTAGAACTAACACCCACATGTTGTACTGTACCTCCCTGACCCTGACTGAGGTCATGCGGACAGTCATGACCCTTTCTAGATCCTGTTTGCATCCATTTGCCAAATTGCCGCAATGCCCTCCTGGCCTCTGTTCTCCTCCAAAGTTCCGTTTGCTTCTTTCATCCTTATACATTTAGATAATGTTGCTATGCCTTCCCAAGTTCTGTTTGGACTGACACAACAGACTTTTGCCCTTTTTCATGACTCATGGCTCATGCAGACTCTATGATGATCTCCTTCCTTTTCGCCCTATAAAAGCTGCCATGCTTTACTCATTTCTTCAGAGCAGAGCAGAACATAACAGAACAGAACAGAGTCCCTCCTGGCAGATTGAGCCGGAGCAGTTGTATTCCTTTCAGAGTCCCTCCAGGCAGATTGAGCCGGAGCAGTTGTATACATAACTTCAGGCAGATTGAGCCGAAGAACATAATATTAACCAGTCTTCTTGTGTGTGCCTCCTGATACCACTCGGCGACCTATTACACATGTACTGTGTACGCGCGCTGTCCAGCTAGCCTAGACCTGCAAACGCTGGGATTTTCATGCATGTATGGCGAAAAGCTTGATCGGATTTCATTGTGCAGCAGTACAGTGTGGATGTTAAAATGGGTAGAACAATGGAATGCAGTGCCTACCAGTATGCATTTTTATCAACGCGGTGGCGCGACGTCTTGTGGCGTGAACGCCAACAGAAGTATCGCATTTCGCCCGTAGTTTGTCCGATGATGCATTGGAAAAGCTCTTGTACATGGCTGTGTAGCTTTCCAGCCCTGCACTGGACACCCTCTCCCGCCAGCGTGGGTCTTCGCGGCGTGAGGATCAGGAACAGGCGAATGGGGGAGGGGGCATTCTTTCGTTCGCGCGAACAACACCACCTTCTGTGCAAAATCAGCGGGACACTGGACGCACTATGGATTTGAAGAGGGATTGTCTATTTTCTATGCAAGGACGTCATGCTTCTAACTGACCTGCATGCGTTTTATTCGCACATACCTTCACACTCGATATGGAAATTTGCCTTGTTGCTTGAAAGCGTGAGGCACTATAGGTTAGAGTGTGGTCTTGACCGATGTGAGCGGGCGCAGGCAGCAGACGAAGGCCCTCGGATTGTTGGACCATCACAGACGCTGCACAATCAGCCCAGCTCACAGTGGGAGCTCTCATTCAGTGTTTCAGCACTTGAGGCCGGTCATCCAGAGTCCTTGAATCTGCACAAGTCCTGGATGTCACACCAGCTCACACTTAGTAAGGCTTCGACGACATGTAGATGCGCCAGGTCCGCGACGCTGGGTCCCACTACTGAGTCTAATGATGGCTCTGGCCCGCAGCTAGGCGAAGGAATTATTCATGACTGAATACAAGGAATACGGAAGGGCATGCTACAGTAAAAAGTAGCCACTACTGTACGCTCGGACACACCGCGGGTTATCCGCGGCGTGTGTAGAGCTTACTGCACTGCCAAGCTAACTACATTGTAGCGCTACATCCGCGTTGCTCATTATGCGCCCCACTTGCAAAAGCAGTCATCTAGAAAGGTGAGAAGAGAGACGCGGATAAAGCGTTTACTCGGGGTAATCTAGTTGGCCGGTATGGAGTTTGAAAGGTCATGCTTCGCTGCGGATCCACGACAGTAGGACGCCTGTAAGGTTGACAGCTAGTGACCTCAACGTCCGGGTGGAGCTGAGTCGCTGTCCTGTAGACCTGTGAAAGATCCTGTAGAGGCTGGCGCTTACCAGCTGTTTGTGTTGCTCCGCTGAAAGGACCACGCTGCTGGTGTAGTGTTAGCCTGTGATGGCAAGGTTTGTTCGGCCACTGGCGCTGATAACTCTGCTGGCGCTTTGCGCAACTGTCTGTACCAAGCGTTCGACGGACGGGAGGTGAGTGCATGCATCTACTATGTTCGCGCGCGTCTGTTGCTGTGGGCATGGCCGAAAGGCAATCTCCAAGCAGTTCTTGTGTGTCTGGGTGTATCGTTGCTGGTAGAAGAGATTCTTTCGAAACTTTCAAAGGATCGATCCGGAATGAGACATACATTGTACACCTGTGTGTGTAAATGGTCGCAGTCATGAACACTCTAACTTTTAAAAAAAGCTGTTAGCCTAGCTGTGCTGTGAAAGCTGGGATGACTTGAGACTGGTGTTTGAACAATAGGCGCGCAAAAGAAGGTAATAGTTAATTGTGATTGTGCACGATGGTCTAATGCCGTTTAGTAGTGAACACAGTATACTTATGACTGTGAGGATCATGTTTCGTCCACACTGTTAACCTGCACACTGTATTATAGTGCCTTGTAAGGTGGCGCGTGATATTTGTCCCCGGAGCTAACCGAATTGCCCGCCAGACGCAACACTCAGGCTACGTGTACATACACGAAGTCATTGCGTGTATACTTGAAGCGCCGCCATGTTCTGATGTACATGTGGATCGCTCAGGCTGCATGTACGTGAGAGAGCATGCCTGTGCACGGTGCTACGTGGCGTGGGAGCGCGCACTTTCGGATTGAGTTAACCGTTACTCGATGGGAGATAGTACGTATTATCTGGATTTAGAATAATGTAAAGAAGAGGTTGGTGTGACTTCGGCGATGCTTGGGAATTGTGTGTTGCTCCCTACGTGGCAGCTCGCGCTTTTCCTGCCGACTTGAATTCTCACTTGACTGACTCACGACTGCCATCCAGAGCACACGAGAAGTCCATCGAACCTTCCACTCGGCAAACCTGCAGGAAAGCACCATTCCCTTACACGGAATAATGCAATGGTTCCTATTGGCCTACGTGTCTCGAATCCAAACTCGAGTTTGGATTCGCGGTTCGAGCGTGCACACACATACACGGCCAACACGAAATGGATGCCATCATAGCCTTCAAACCAAAAATCCGGTACCCCATTTGTTCAGTGTGCACTAGAACTACATTGTTTTCATACTGTGATTTTGAACTCTTCGCGGACTTATCTTGCGTGGTGTTCCCCAGAGCGTACTATACGGCTTTCCAATCCACTGCAAATCAAGTACATAGGTGGGAATACGACCTCAGCAAGATACATCTTACACTCTAGCATTTCCGGACTCTCTTCAGAGAGTGCATGGTCGGATACTCATGTATTGAACTTTCAGGGCGTACTGAATGTTACAGCATAGTCTTGTCATTAGTACTCGTGTTCCAACAAACCAGGAAGCTTGATCATGCGGCTGATGTATGACCCCCAACTGCCAGTAAGGCATACAGCATACCTAGCGGAGCGGCAGTGGCAAGCGCTGATGTCCCCACATTCTTCACAGGGCGGAATCGCGAACAGCCTGTTGGCTCGGATTCGGGCAATGTATTGCAAACGAAGGCTTGCAGCTTTATCAGATCTATACAAGTTATTTTGAGGCAAGGGGGGGGGCGGGGGTAGGTGCTCACTAGGCCTGGTGCTCAGTCGTATCGGTAATGTCAACCTGGATCAGGTATTCGGCGGAAACACAATATCCCAGCAGTGTGCCAACAAACATTCCATGACTGTCTGCCATGGGGTCATGGGCTTGTAACGACAACAAGTTACGCCCAGTGGGCAGTCGAGTCGATAAGGAAAGAGCGTGGTCACTCACGGCAGCAATCTTGACAAGAACGCAGCCAGAGACGGCAGTTGTGTGGGATCAAGTGCTTCGCAAGGAGTGCGCTTGAACTATTCCTTGATCTAGGTCCAGTGTTCGAGCACTTCAGTGATTGAGAGATTAGCCGTGAGGGTAACACACGGGGTATGTTATTGTTCCTAACTGAGTTCCCGCTCGTCATCATGAGTTAGACCAAGGCCAGCTGCTGGCACAATGCTCGTCCACAACATGCACGGAACCGCTGAACGGTCCGGTATACAGCCACTAGCAATACCACTGTTGGGAGTGATATCTGCTTAGCTAGGTTGCGGGCAACATATCATCTGTACGTATACTTCACTGCTGGATTTTCAGGAAAGGCTGACCGATTTTACCCTCGCAACAGCTTGCCGCTCTTCTGGGCAGAGTTGGCACGAAGCACTTGGCAAGCAGCAGCAGCAGCTACAGGAAGAGAAAGCATTCCAGTCACGCAATCACTCTCTGCATGCCACTGTGATAATCAGGCCATTTCGGCAACAGGCAGGCAAGCAGCATGACGGTTGTTCTCCTCTAGTCCTAGTAGTGCTGCCCTGCTGACACTACATCTACATGTACAATGTCATGTATAAAGACCCTCCTATCTCTGTGGTGTGACGGAGCTGAGAGGCTGTGGATGTAGACCTACTGCCACGTACTACTAGTACTAGTAGTGCAAAATGGCCCAATGCGTGTAATACTCAAATTCTTCTCCGATTCTATGCAACAGCCACATGCAGCTAAATATTGCCTGCGTGCAGGTCTAAAGCTGCGCGATGACAAACCAACAAGATTCCTATGTACTGGCCCTACATTTTGTTTAAAATTGTTTAAAGATTTTCCAAAGGCTTCTTGCCAGGCCCACAGGTGCTTGTGTCTCCGTGCAATCTTCACAGGGACCTCAGATGTCAATACAGTCATGTATTCACTTCTACCCGACTGTGGTCCGTCACATGTCATAACCACATCCAGCAGTATCTCACGTTTCACCGAGGCGAATAATAATTGCTTGTAGTGCAATGAAGTACTAGTAACAGTTTGAACGAGTCCCTAGGACAGCCGATCTGCTTGAATGTGTTTTGCTGCTGTGCGGTCCTGGTTCGGGTCTAAGCAAATCACATCAGTGCGTCATTAGCATACAAAGTGAGACTGCACAGGCGGCAGCGATGCAACTTTCCGCTACTCGAACCAGTTCAGATTTCACGGTCGGAGCGGAAACCTTGTTTTTAATCACTTTATATATACTTATGCGTGCTTGGCGTGAAAGGCGAGCGGGGAGGATTGTGTGAAAGCATTGACAGATACCCCCTGAGATCGTGTGGAAGGTCTGGAACCTCTAAGCTTTGAATGGCCGGAATAATTTACATCAAGGATTCAAGTTTCCCGAGTGTCCCAACCGGTACTTGTAACCAAACATAGAATGACGGTAACGAGGGAAACAATTGCATGAGTTAAGCCCCCCCCCCCCCCCTGTGCAGCCGGATGACCTTTTGTTTTCCTTCAGGGTCCCTAGCGTTGCTGTCCACATTTACCATGCATCATTGCATGAGTTCAATGTACCAGCTCTTTGTAGTTCAAGCGTCCACAATACAGGGAATAGGGTCCAGCGGATTCTGCCGGCAGAACAATTGGCAGAATTCGGTACATTTTCTGGTACGTTTCATGCATGTTTGGTATGTGGATAAAGAAATGGAGCAGAATTTGAGGAATTGCCCGCCATAAGGTTTGTATGGTTCTGCCGATTTCACTGCTTTTCGAGCAGAATCTGCCACCTTTTCGAGCAGAATCCGCCGGTCCCTAACAGGGAATATAGATAGTGCGCGTGGGTGTGTTTGTGTGCGTGTGTGTGTGTATGTGAGAGAGAGAAAGAGAGAGAGTGAGTGGAAGAAAGAGAGAGAGAAAGTCTATCAGGCGCACTGCAGCGCCGTGCTAGCAGTAGCACAAATCGTGTGTCCTCCTCACTCTACTGGGTTTCTAGAGACAGGAATACATCATGCATGTAACGGATATCATACGTGATTTTAGTATTGGGCTGCTGTCCGTTCACGCCGCTTAACTTGCTTTTCACGGAACAAACAACAGATCAACGGAAAGGAGATAGGCTTGTGCGTTTCAGTTGCTTGGCGGGGGCAGGGTAATCACGGGTCTTTTCACAATGACGGCTGGCGTTGGCAGACCAGCCGTAAATTCCAGGTGCGTGTCGCGTTCCAGGTGCGGTCTGCCTCTAGGCGCTGGAATGAGAGGATTCCTCTGCTGGCTGACAACTCTTGACTATTGGACAGCAAAATAGCAGCAAGAGTGACCAAACGACTGATAGCACAAACAAGCTGTAATTGGTGCATGTAGAGCGCCCGATATGGCCATGGCACATGTACACTTCAGAGTGTGTGCCGAACATAAAGTAATATTACTACTACACGCACTACATGCACTACATAATTTATCTGTTTGAACTTAAAAGGAGTCGCGACCCAGGTCCATGGATCCAGGCAATTGCGCAACGCTCGATATTGCATTTGCCCAACAGATGCCACTCGCATGATAATCACTTGCAGTTGTACGCAGTACTAGATCATCATAATGCGTGCAGGGCGCTGGTATTCGGATTTCCCCTGCCCGTAGTCGAGCCTCTTCACCCAATTCTTGTTTTGACAATGAAATGTGGCCGATGTGATGTCGTGACACCAACGCAGAATTTGTCCGTCGCGTGTCCTCTTGCGGGTTTCGGAGTCGGAGATTCTGTAGAAGTACTAGTACTTCCCGTAGGATATGGATGTGGTGCAATGCAGCCACACCTGATTACTTCCATTCGCATGGAGTCCTGCGTGCGTGGCTTCTCCAAGGCCAATTGCGCATGCGTCTGATCTGTGGCGGTGGAGAGCACGAAACCCTCGTGCAATGAATGATGAGCGGTGTAGCCTTTCCGTGTCACCTGAAGCACAATGCAACTCTTCTACTAAGGACGTTCGACACTGAAAACTCGTCCACGAAGAAAGGATAATCTCATTACTGTTGTCGTTCGCTTACCACAGACAAAGGAGCGGCACAGCAAACAGTGAATAGATGTGCGGGTGCGGCAGTCAGCGAACAGTTACATACAAGCGTCACTTTTACCAGAATTTACGTGATTGTCTCCTTCATTTGCAAGTCATGTCATAACATCCCTGGAGCATCAGGCGTCTAGTTCATCGTAACTCTCCTTCCCTTCATCTCTCTCTCTCTCCCTCTCTCTGTCGCCTTCCTCATCTGGACACATCGGCATGACCATGGCGGATAGTACCTAGGTCGGTGGAACTCTCCAGACTACAACACATTAAAACGGTACATGTCCGAATGCTTCTGCTTCATATCATGATCAATTTGGGCATTGGCGATGGTGTGATACAACATACACCACCTTTATCAAGAAACTCAGAGGCTAACTCGACCCTGTTGGAGTTCACGATGGGAGCAACCGTCCAACTGGCGACATGTACATGTATCCACTGGATCCTGCATGGCGGTTCTACCTTCATCAGCTCCTTTCTGCGGCTCCGTGCATTGTAACAATATACATGGATGTCATCTGCTGAGACTCCGAACTATCAACATCCATTCCTGTGAGGGCGTATCGCCACTCTATACGAATCATGACGTATACCTACTTGTCATCATGTAGCCATAGGATTCTCGACTGCAAACACAGTTCCGGATAACACTTGGTCTACCTGGGGCTTGCACAAGATTAGTGTAGGTGCAAAACCAGTTACTGATTCTACTGTAAACTACTAAATAGGCATGAATCATAACAACGGCAATAGTACGTCATTACCATCACTACACTGTGTGTGACAAGAAGTATGTGACTATGTGTGTGACAAGAAGTATGTGTGTGACACGAAGAAGAGGACGAAATGATTTCACTGTAACGCCGAGTTTCACGCACCAGGCGTTCATCAGACAACGTTGATGAAATGCCTTGAACCTAGATACAGATGTGTTTACCCGTGAAGTAAAGACTGGATGGAGCCTGGAGGTGTGAATCACAGCACCTTTATCCTATTCTCCTTGTTGAAAGTACTTGTACAAGTAGCTCTCCCCTTGGGCATCGAGCACTCTATTGGAGAGCCCGGAGCCGTTCTACCATCACGACCTACACGACCTACACAACTTGTCATATGTGTAGTGCATGAGTCCAGGAAAGACCTGAACAGACTTTCCCCGTCGCTATTTGGCGAACAATAATTGTACCAGCCCCCTCCCCCTCCAAAAACCCTCCTAGTATTCTGTATATTATAACGACCGCCAAAATGTGTCAGTTTTTGTTACGATGTCCGCTTGTAACCGTAACCGTACCATAAAAGTTTATTAAAGGCCGGATTTGAGGGTGAGTCGTGCGTTGCCTGGCCTTTTGATCATACTGCTGACTTTGACGTATTGTTTATGACCGTGTACCATGCGTGCTGTTTGCAGGCTCGGTCAGGAACCGTTCGACCTCTCACGGACGGTGCAGCGAGCAGTACGGAGACCATACTTCCGCCAGCGCCAGTATGAAAAGAGTGTTCTGGAGCATCACATGACCGAGAGCTGGTTGGAGATCCTGAAGGAGGCGTCGGAATGGCTGAGCAGCCACTGTGCGTGCCAGTTCGGCAGAAATATGTGGAACTGCACCACATCATCGTGGAAGAAGTTCCTTCTCCGAGGTAAGAGATGATGGACGATAGTAAATTATCACTTTTCAAAAACAAATCGATTACATTGTGCATTGGAGCCCTTGGCGGCCCCAATGGCGGGTAATGATTATACCAGCAGAAAATCTGGCACTTGTGTGGTACATGTATGTTGCATTTGGTATAGTTATGGATCTTGAAAGAAGAGGAGCAGGATATGCGACCGACAATGAGCTTCGTTTCGCTCTGAAAATATTTTTGAGCAGAACCCGCCGATAGTGCGACCTTTTTCTGCAAGGCCTACAGGCCCTGAAAATGATGACGTCAGAAGTGAAAAACGGCAAATAATGACTTCTGGGTTCAATCAGACCCATTTGGATTATAGCGAGGTACAGTGTGTAGTGGGGGTAGGCCCCTTGCGTCTCCCGCTTATGCGAATTATTTCTACTGGTACACCAGGAGTTGGTACCTGATCGGGAGGGCCCATTCCAGGGGAGGGCCCATTTCAGGGGAGGGCCCATCCCAGTGACCACTGGTGAATGCCTCACCCTGCTGTGAAGAAAACCACTCAAACACTTGATTTCGGATCCATAGTCGCCTGATGATTGTGTAAGCATGAAACTCAAAGAAGCGACGACCTGCTAACTAGTTAGCCTTGCCCTTGTTGTTGTGTGCATTTTTGGATCCGTACAAAGACTTATTCACACTGGACCCAAAAGTTAGCATTGCCATGATTCCGGGTTGGCTGTGATGTAGCGCTTTCAAGCCCTATTGCTTGCACGCCTATCCCCCAGTCCTACAGATCGGACCCCCCCCCCCCCCCTACCCCCACATTTCAATTTCCCGTGCAATGTTTTGGTCACTGTCGGTCAAACCCGGACTGAGCGCTGCTGTTGAGGTCTTGGAAGTACATGTGGCACAAGACGAAACAGGTGAACAGTGTTTAAAGTGTTCATATCAAGTACACATATAAGTACATGTGTATGCGGCGCCATATCTTCACGAAAACAAGCTAGCTTGTTTTTTTGCATTTTGTCTTGAGTGCGCTCACCTTCCCATTTCTCATGTTATTTCATTGAAGCCACGACTTGGAACCTTTCAAATTGGAAGGCTGTTGGCATGGGCATTCGGGATGTGATGGAGCTAACCATTAGGTTATTGAATGCCAGTACCACATCAGTCATTATTGTGCTAACTGTTGCATGCTATGACTCAATTATCTTGCTTATAATCTGTCGGTGTTGGAGAACTACGGATAACTTCTAAACCGTTGGTCCTTGCTTCGGATTTTGACTTCCTGTGTTGACTTTTCAGCGCATCCGGAGGCTGGCTACTTCCGCGCCGCCCTCTCTGCCAGTGTGGTCTTTCACACAGCCAGGCACTGTGCTATGGGCAAGATCACGTGCTACATGGGCAATACAACCAACAGCAAGAATCCCAGCCACCTCGAGTACAAGCTGTTCTTCAGTGACTTCGCCAAGAAGCAGACCTTCTGCGACTACCACTTCACGGAGGGCCTGCGCGCTGCCAAGATCCTGGACATCCTCGACGGCTTCTTCTTCCATGCGATGAGCAAGAGCAAGAAGCGCCGTTGGAGTAGATCACGGGACCTGCATACAAACTACTACAACAATGCAGTAGGCCGCGAGGTAAGGATCAAGTCATATGTTTTGTATTTAAAAAGCAACTGAATAATGTTGATGCTCAAAAGCATCAGGATGCATGATGCAATTGAGCTTCAATCCAAAGGCTACTATTCACTACTCTCCTCTTCATCAATTTGCATGCGGGATATCTGCTTTAACCACCCTCTTCTAAACCGTGTAAATGCAGATTTGTGTACATGACATTTTTCTCGTCTTCCAAAAGCAGAGACACTAAGAGAGTAAATATTATTATTAGCGGTAAAAGGGTTTAAGACACATTATTGGTGTGCCTAAGCAGATTTTCGAATCGGCCGTTGGGAGCCTCCCCATTTCAATAAGGACCAGAATGTCACTTTGCCAACTCTTCCAGTGTGCCATCAGCATTAAATTTATTTTAAAAGGAAGATTTGTTAGCGCTTAGTATGTACTGCACAGAGATCAGACAAGTGGAGGTGAAAATGGGTGCAGAATCTATCCTGGGTCTGAGGTGGACATCAAATCATAGTGAAGACCAGGCCACATGAACGATCCGTCATCAGGAATATTCTTGTGCGTGCCCTCGTACTACTACTACTACTACTACTACTACATGTACAGTGACCGATGGTACAGTAAATGCCTCCATTATTTCTCTCTTTCTTCTTTCCTCTGTTTTGTGTCTGAGCAGAAAATCAAGGATATCCGACCTCATCTTCGCTGCTTCTGCAGCGGTCCGAGTGGAACATGCGTATTGAAAACGTGTTCGTACGTGGAGACCAAGAGAATGCTGACGCGCACGGCGGATGCTCTCTACCAGCAGTATCAGAAGTTCGTGAACGGTGGCACTGCAGCTGTGGAAAGTGCCCGTGCCCTGATCGCGGAGGCCCAGGTGCAACCGCGCCCGGCGACGGTCGCCACGCACAGAAACATGAGCGTGATCGCCACGCGCCACTCGCCCAACTACTGCCGCCGGAACAGCAACTGGGGCCTGCTGGGTCCCAGGGGAAGATCGTGCAGGGAGGCGTGCGGCGAGAACGTGGAGTACTTCACCGGCAGTCCAGCCTGCAACGAAATCTGCTGCGGACGACTGCACACGCACGTAACAGAGTATCAATGCGACTGCAAGCTAGAGGACTGGGACCTCAGATGTAAAATCTGCAGTCGTGCAGTAACGGTGTGCGCGTAGGGGGCAATCCCTCCCTGGACCAATAGTTTGGGGTCGTTCACCCCCCCCCCCTCCCCTCCCCCCGGACGTGGTTGATGTTCCCACCTAGTGTTCCATTCCGACCCGATAATCTGGAACGATATTGTAATTTTTAGCGTTCTTCCTTGTGTGGACTTGACGGTAGGAAATTAACGAGTTGATCACCACTATTCAGCCTTGGCACTATTATTACGCGCTAGGCACACTTCTGTATGCTATTTTCAAATTGCCAGCTAACCCAACCCCTCCGAATATGAGAATAGCTATTGACCCCTGAGCTGGTGCTGACACTGATTCTAATTTATCTCATTTTTGATCGTCAAGAAAGTAATAGTTCTGCGTACTGTTGACACGTAGTCACTGAATGTGCTGTTGATTGAATAGAGGGCAACTGAGGATCACGGCTATGGATCGTATACAGTGCATTGTACCTCACTCCATAATTATACACCCACAGTCTTAGGCATGCACCCCCTTACACTGTATCTCCATCTAAACCATTAAAAGGGAAATTAGCAGTAGTTGCCGGCGAGGAACAAGCCATTAGGAGGCCACACATGGTGAATATGGAGAGGTATACAGAACAGAACAACAAGGGCTATAATTATGTATGGAGCATGATGTATAAATATATTATTATAACAAAGGGATGGTGAGCCAATTAAATTATGGTGAAAATTGAGAAGGACAAAATGTTACGAAACCAACAATCTTCCAACTTGGAAGGCTCAGGTTCGGAAAGGTCCAAGAGGGGAAGGAAAGCGAACCTGAGCCTTGCAAGTTGGAAGATTGTTGGTTTGCGCCTTGGAGAAATGTTGGAGCTACATGTACGTGTCAGGTCGTCAAATGTCTCAGTACTCCTTTGTCAGTTTTGTGTCATTTTGTTGCACTGGCGCTGACTGTATAGGATCTGGTTACGTTGGTGGACAGTTACTTAGTCATAACCCGTAACATTTTGTCCTTCTCATTTTTCACCATAACAAAGGGACGTCGTGTATATCGAGGTATACATGTATACACTCGTGACTCGGTCCCTTGTTACTGTATAATCTACAGTATGGCTAGAAAGTGATGACGTCAAAAACGGCCAGGGAGTACTAAGTTGACATCAGATTTCTATTTTGGATCCACTAAGGTGTGACTTTGCTATTCACGCGGCCTCAGTATGTGGGTGCATAGCAACCCACTCATGTCGTATGCAGGGGTGACTTTTACTTCGCCACCACTACTACCCCGCCCCCAGTAGCCAAATCAGTAAGTTTCACTGGTTACATCACCTTGCTGTGAGTAAGGCGGCTTGAAATGTGCTTGGATCCATACAAAAACTGGATCCAAGTGGATCCAATTTTTGAATTTTTGAAATTGTTGCTATGCTGTGACGTAGCACTTTCAAGCCCTATATACGGACGATTGTCGACCTGTACATGTATCTTTTTTTTTTTTTTTTTTTTTTTTTTTTTTGATTTTTTGAATTTTTTTAGATTTTTTTGTGAAAGTTTCAACAACTGCCAAGCCTCTTATACGGGCAAAATAAACACAATTACGAGTGCAACCTCAACAGCACCGGCAGAAAAACGAGCAAAAAATGGCTGTGAAGACAGTCGAGAGAGCAAAAAATTAATGGCTGTGAAAACAGTCGAGCTACATGTATCTAGTTCAACAGTCACGGTATTGCGAGGGATTCTTTGGCTGCGTTTCGCACATACAGTAATAATGCAAATACTGCTACACAATCATAGTCACTGACAGTCGAAGTGCAGGATTAGGTGTGTCCACCTGCTGTAATCTGTCTAGACCTTGTGCCGTCAAAATTTATGGTGTGTGGCCTTTTGTAAAAAAAAACGCTGACCACAGCAGTCATACGGAAATAGAGAGGTTGAGATACACGTTATTTCTGACGTGACGTGAAAGTACAGTCGAGCCTCGGAAATAACGTACTCTATTTATATAATTATCACGTTCCCTCTACTCGGCTTGTGGTTGACCACTCCTTCAAGTAAGTTGCGTTGAAGTGATCTGCCCTCGTGCAAAGGTCGCTGTGTTTTACGATCGGTTCGGCCAGCTCCACCGAGGAGGTCAAACAAGATCGAAGCAGCTAGCTGTCCCGATATTGCGCTCCATCGCCTCGGCTTTTTTTAAGTTTTTTTTATAAGATAAGTAGCCTGAAGCCATCATGGTGCAAATCCAGTAAGAAAATTAATACACTGATGTAGAAGGAAGGCACATGGGTCATGGCGATGGGCAGCCGAAGCAGTGGATGCGGGCCTGGGACACGTGCAGCTGAATCAACCAAGGGACTCTAGCTCTGTATCAACACTGCTCATGTGTGCCAAACCAAAAAAAATGCTAAATGAAAACAAAATGAATAGGAGCACCAGAGAGGACGTGAGAAATACATAATGACAATGTGAAGGTGTTCAGTGCCTCTCCGCTACATGTACTTCCACATCCTGTGCTAAATGTGTAGATTCTACAATGTTCTGTGAAATACAGTAGTGGTTGCGACTTCGGCGATGATTTGTTAGGAATGGGTTTGCTCCCACACTGGAGCTCGCGGCGAGTCGGCCGAACAGCGCGAGCTCCAGTGAAACCCATTCCTAATGTTCTGTGAGGCTATACAAAAGGCGGGATCCGCTACAGTGCAATGTCATCATACTAGTACTTTGCACCCATCACTTCCACTCAGTTCCGAATGGAGCTAGAATATAATATGCCACCTCATTTTTCTCGCTCTACTGAAATATTGTGCTTTTATCGTCTCTGCCCTTCTCTTCGGCATAATTATGTACATGATTGTGTGCTTAGTGAATGGTAGTCTTGATAACCGGTATGCTGTCTGAGGAGTGCTTTGTCACATGCCGGCAAACTCTGAGTACGGCCAAAGAAGGCAGTGTGTGAAATTGTGAATTGTAAGAAATAAAAATAATGAATATACAGTCATGTACTCTACGGTCAAGTGCACTCGTATTGTTAGTAACCATGGTGAATAGCTACGCCCCGTCTAGTAAGTATGCGTATGCCATGGACCAACCCCCGTATGGTCATATTCTCTAGCCTAGCGCCTGGGTAGATCTACATGACGTCTGATGAGTGTTTTTTGAAACACGAAACTCGGAGTCACGAGAAGGATTTTTGGTCTCTGTTGTTCTGCCCTGTGTGACTTGTAGTCTTGTACACCTACAGTCCATTCAGAAAAGGTTGAGCGCTGGCTCTGGAGACCTCCCGTGTTTGGCGATTTTGTGGTACACTCAGGGCCGGAGGAAGGAGTTGGGGAGTGGTCCGGCCAACCTTTGAGGGGGGTCCGGGGGACCTCCCCGGGGAGAAATATTTAAAATTTAAGTGAAATAGAGCGAATTTGGGCATCTCTAAGGCTCCAGGAAATGCAGAAAATTATAGTAAAAGAACACAAACACAACTTGTTATCCATATTAGCCATACAGTGCCGGTCACAGAGTCCTGAGCTACTTCGCACATCACACGTCGGCAGTACAGTCGAGTCATGTACCTCTGGATTTTTTACTCCGGTTTTGCACGAATCACATGGACCATCCAGCTGGGAAAGTGGTCCGGCCATGGCCGGACCAGCCTGACCGGTTCCGCCGGCCCTGAGTCACTGTGCAGTGCCGCGCGATTCGAAACTTGAAAAAGGGTCCAAAATGGCACCTCAACTGGGGTTCGAACCGCAAATGTACTGTTATGCAAGTGGAGTGAACGGCCTGGATTTTCATGGTTTTTACCCAATTCAGTGCTTGGGGGCAAAACCTGGCCGAAATCCTATTCTTGTTATGGCTTGCTTTTTGGAGAAATAGACTTCAAAAACACAATTGGAAGAGCATTCCATGGGGGATTGCCAAAAAAAAGGAGACGAAAACTCAAAATTTGACCCGTTTATGGCCAAAAGCTAGGATATCAACCTTTTCTGAATGGACTGTACATGACTGATTATGAAGAGTTGGTTGGTCCTGCAGAATGCAGGCTGCAGCACAGTCACCGGATACAGCCCGCGCAGCTGCCAGTCCTGCCACTTCATTCGCGATGTTTGACTCCAGACCGGAGAACCGCGATAGTGCTGCATTGTGCACTGTGGTCTATTTTCGTCCCAGACAGCAGGTTGCGTTGACAGATGGAGTCGGCTAGGAGATGTACGCTGCACTACAGACATGGACAGCGCTACATGTATTATAATTATACAGACGTAGACAGTAGTGGGTAGACGTCTACACTGCGTCGTGCGTACACGTCCGTGAACGTCACTTTTGTCTGTTTCTGTGTTTGCACCTATGGGGAAATGCCCTTTCTTTTGCAAACAGAGGACGACCACGGACCAGCAGAAGTGATATCGATGACATAGCCAGGCGCAGGCAGAGATCAGTGAACAGCGCTCCATTGAATAGGCGTGAACTACAGGACGTCAGGCGCGTCGACCAACGAAAAAGCAGCATCGGATCTTGGGGAGTTTTCAAACCACTGGAAACCATTTGCCTCGTTTGGAGCCGATCAGCTCGCTCGCTGCTGCAGCATGCTAGCAGTTCAACGGCAGAGAACGACAGTCAGATATTGAAGTCACGCAAGAGCATAGCGCTTGCTGTGCTGTTCCTAATCCGATCGACCAGTAGCGGCAGCAACCACGGAATTCTCAGCGGTCGAAGCAAACACAGTCCAGCAGTTCACGGCTGAGGGCAGTCCAGGTTGCCTCTGCCGCTCGGACTTTGAGCAATGGCCACTGTCGCAGAAGACAGCGGTACCGGTGGAGAAGTGGAGGACGGATCGGCCGACACGACTGGCGATTCCATATTCACCGGCGATGGGCAAAGGTAAGCGAAGGCGCTACTGAAGTAACAAGACACAGTCACTGTTTGATTGTAGCAGGCGTGCGAGTTCAGAGTGATGCACAGCAGCAAACCAGGTGTCCATAGACAAAATTATGCCTCGCACGATAATTATACTGTAGAGTCACTGAGTGACGAGTGTCCTACCATGATCCCTCTGATCTCGTGAATGGAACTTTCTTTTCTATTCCAGTCTCGCCACTAGTACCACCAACAGTAACTACTCTTTGCAGAAATTGTGTTCCACGTAGATTGATATGAGAGAGTGACGCAGCTGCCGCCTCCTTCCTTGTCAACAATACAATATAGATAGCGTCGCACCACTGACAGTCTGTACACATAACATGCATACACAAGCACGTGTACAGGCACATACGCCCCCCCCCCCCCCACACACACACACAGACCCACAAGAGAGGTATCACCCCCCCCCCCCCCCACACCTTTCCAACATATTATTTTGCTGATCAGCCGTATAGGGGCAATATTCCATACGGGTTGCTTTTGGCCTTTCGAGACAACAATCTATGGCTCCTTGGATGTTGAATCTGATGCTGAACTGATTTCAGCATAGGTTAAGGGTCCCTGTCAGGGTAGAGGCGTGGAAGAGGTTGAGGCGCAGCACTTCTGATGATGCACTAGATGATGACGTAGTCGGAACTACTTCCTGTGGCATGGGCACTGGAATGGGAATTTGGTCCTTTCCGAAGCTGTCTTGCGTTTCATGCGGTCGCACATGTGTCTGGCCAAGCCGCTGCTGGACTTGAAACTGCGGTGACAGGTTCTGCACTGTGGCGCGGCTGGATTGCTGAGATGCTCGGACAGACGCGCGCACACACACACACACACACACACACACACACACACACACACACACACACACACACACACACACATATGCCCATCGCGGAAGCGATGATAGCGAACAGCTATGTTAGACATAGCAACTTGTGCTGGGATTACACCATTCAACATCTGGCAAGGCTGATGAACACACATACACACGCGCGCACACACACATGCGCGCACACACACATGCGCGCACAAACACATGCGCGCACACACACACACACACCACACACAAAGATACGCAACGTTGTGGACCCTAGCTGGCGCCAGACCCCACGCCCGAGGACTCCCATCCACCGGGCACCTTTCTGGCCCCTGAGAACCGGCACAAGCATATACTGATTGCCGGGCACAAAAAGTCGTTAGCTGCATCATGCAAGAAATGACGCCACTCTTCACGCAGTGTGGATGGGTAAAATGTCCAGTGTCAAGTAGCATAGAATATTCCATACACAGAGCTACTAAGCTCCATGTATGGAATAGCAAAACAATACTTAAAAAAGTGTTGTTTTACACTGGGACGCTCACCCATCCACACTGTTGCGGCGGTTGGAACTTCCAGGAGGAAGTGTTGGAAATCATTCCGCTGGAAAATTACTATTCAATCGTCTCCCTGATCTTGATGGCATGCTGTAGGTTGAACCAAGGCCCCATGACTATAGCCAGAGCGTTTGCACTACTGCTACATCATGATGAGCGGTCCAGCGCGAAAGGATTTCTGATCGTGTTCGTCAACAGCGCAAGCGACCAGTCCACCGTCCACATTGCTGCCCGGTAAGCGTGTGTGTGTGTGTGTGTGTGTGTGTGTGTGTGTGTGTCTTGCTCTGTGCCTGTGATAGGTCGAGGAATGAAGAATCTTCTACAGTAAACACACCATAGCTTGGTGGTAGAGCATCGCTGACACTAAGCAATGTTCCCTGGTTCGAGTCCTGGTGGTGACGGTCAATGTCTTCTCAAGACCTTTTTTCTGACGGTTTTCAACTCCCTCGGCCTGATGAATGACGTAAATACGTGGGTGACTGAGGAGCAAAACTGGAAATGAAATCGGCCACCTGGGTCATCTCAGGTCCGCTCAGCCGGCTCAGACGCCCGTGCATTGGTCACCGGATTTGACGGGCAGTAGGCATGTGTCAGTGGCGCATACTGTACTCTGGAGAGGGGGGGGGGGGGAGGGGTGAGCTCTTGTCATACCTGTGTATGCATCGTCCAATAATCGTTGTGCTGGTGTTCCTTCTTCATCTGTTCGGTTGCTTCCAGGTTGGTTGACGGGTCCCACAAGCTCATCAAACTGGATCGCACTGGACAGTTGTGGACGCTGGACGATCCGGTATGTGTCATGTGACAATGTACAATGCATATGGAGAACTACAGCATCCACGGAGTGCTGTGGAAATTTGGGTAACTTCAGTACTTGCGGTGGTCTTGCCCCAGGCCTGTCCTGGCGTAAAGCGATGTATACTAGTACTCATACCTCAGTTATCTGGACCCTGGCCTGAAGTAATAGCTACAGGCACTCCGACCTACCGCACACCCTTTGGGCGAGTTTCAGTGAAAACACTACTACTTCAAGTACTGTTGTGTCACTTGTTGTGGACACAGTGACGTCACATGCCATGTCTATGGCCTTTCCTCATCATGTATGTGATTCGGAGTTACTCAATCTGCGGACAGCATGCTGTTTCGTTCTTTGTGAACTCATCAGCGCAGCACGGAGGAAATGAGGCCGAACCTGATAGCAATGGAAATAAAAATTTCCAATCAGGATCGAACGTACCCTGCCAGAGTGCTCAAACTGACAAGTCAGTGATTCGGAGTTACGGATATTTCGAAGCTATGGCCAGTGCCCGGTCCAGGACTGCCCAGATAAGCGAGGTACGAGTGTACAATACCAGCTAGGATAGCTCGGTACGGCACTCAGGCAGAATGGTGTTTCAAAAACTCCACTGCACAATTGCGCCCTTGGCCGACCAACACAACTTCCACCTTCACATGGGGGTGCGACTTTTTCTCAAGTGCAACTTAAGAATCAGGCAAATAATACTAAAACTAATGATGGGAAATGGGGTAATTTTACTTCTGGGCTGTTCTCTGAGAGTGCCGTGCACCTTTCATTGTCTTGTGTGGTGTTCGCAGAGCTTCAGAAACCAGCGTTTCGCCACCTTGGCAGAGCTAGTGTTTTACTACAGTGCACGCAATCGACACATCGTGCCCGTGGATCTTGCCTCTGCACAAGAACGAGAGCAGCAGTCTGAGCCGAGTGAGGAGCTCCTGGAGCGCGGTGCGGCGATCGCGCGCCAGTTTGAAGTGGGCGGACTTCCCCGACAAGTCAGTGATGCTTCCGGCATGGAAGACGATGATGATGACGTTCTACCGCCTCTGTCCAGCGTCCTGAGTGGAAATAGACGGGCCAGCGGCGATACGAACTTCCGACAGCGTGCAATGACGGTGCCTGCCTCCGTTGCCGCCCCCGAGCCTCAGGCAACGGCGGTGCCTGCATCCGTTGTCACAACGGAGCCTCAGGCGTCAGATGACGGACGGCTACAAAACACTATTACAGACGGCCACATAGAATACACGTTTGCGCCAAACACACGTCAAGAACGGGCACACACGGTGAGCGAACCGAACAACACCGACATGGTAAGCACCAGGGAACTTCCAGACTTGTTCAATTTAGGCTCACTCCACCACTCGGCGCAACGCTCTCGGCCGATTCACTCCATCAGCAAATTGCCACCGTAGTGACGGTAATTCACTTGAGAAGAGAGAACGGAAAAAGAGCACAGCGATGAGTGATGGAGTGATGGGTGTTGACTGTTGAGCTCCCCTACTTCGGAGAAAAGAGTAGACGGCGTACCAAGCACAATGCGTGCAAGCAAAGCATTAGTTAATGGACTGTCGAAAGCACAGTGAGAATTAGCAAATAACAGAAACACCATTAAAATGATCACGTGGGTGCTCTGGACATTGTATTCAGTATGATGCTCGGATGAACGAATTTTAAAATTGTTTCCGGGGCCGTTTACATGAGGAAAATAAGCCCGGGTTTATTCGCATCGGGCTTATCTTTCAATCGTTTACATGACGGTTGTACGGTGCTGAGTTCAGGTGAGTGACTGCGAGTTCTGCGCGCATTTTATTTCCAAAATCGCACATGAATGCAGTGGTAAATGTTCGTGTATGATGAAATTTGGATCAAGAAGTGCCGGCTCACGCTTCTACTGCCTTCCGATCGTCACTTATTTTTTCGAAAACTTGAAGGATCGGCTACGACCTTCCACTGAAAGAAAATCAGAAGAAAAAATGCCGAGAAAGAAACAAAGGAGACGCGCTATCCACGGCGACATCCGATCTGGTTCACGGGGCGAAATCGAAAAATATGGAAAAACTCGCTTATAATAGGGATCTCAGCGCGTGCAGTGCGCAGGGTGTTTGCGCATACATTGCGTCCTCGAGTTTTGAGTGCAGCTCGCGGACACAGCAGAAAAATGGCGACGGTCGATTTTCGACACTAGCGGACGCGGTGGACACTAGCGGAATCGTCATCTTCATCGTCGTTTGAACATACTTTGTAATTCCCGCCGAAGGACAGCGTGGCCAAGGCGATATTGCCCCGTTCGATTTTCCTATAATTTTCCATGCGGCAAGAATCCACTTCAGAGAGGATTCAGTCAAAAATTCAGACGTTTTCTCCGGTTAGATTGTCCTAACTTCGATTTTCAGTGCATCAGCCATCGCGAACATCGCCGCCATTATCACTCGGAGAGAAGACATCGCGCTCAGTAGAAGAGGTGTTCACGCTGCGTCCAAGAGTGAAAGATTGTGCTCTTTGACCCTCCATAGTTCCTCTGAGAGAGTGTCTGGGAGATAGGTAGCTTGGAGATGGCCGTAGAACGTGCTTTCCTGGACGCAGTATTCAGCCATTTCTACTGTCTTCTTCAACTAATTTATCTCGAAAAAATGTTCTTTTCCACGATATCTGCACTGGACGCGTTTGGGATCGAAAATCTCACCTGCGCAGACTGGCTGCGCAGTTCACGCGCTGAGATCCCTACTTATAAGCCCGGGGTCTAGGGTAGTTCAGCTCGGGGCAAGCTGAATAAGCCCGCCTCACCATGTAAACGCGCGCTCTAAAATGACTGGGTGACAGATCAAGGCGGGCATATCGTAAGCCTAGGGTTGAATAAGCACGGGCTTGTTTTTCTCATGTAAACGACCCCTCACTCAAGTTTGCAGTCCCAACACTAAGATTTAGTTAGAGCATTGCTGGCCTCAAGCGAAGGTCCCTGGTTTGAGTCCTGTTGGTGACAGTCTAAACGTTTTTTCAGATTTTTTTCCCTTTTCCATTACCTCGACCGTGTGGATGCTACTTTGAATTTTTAGAAGTACAGTACCAAGAGTACATAACCCCCAGAGTGTGCAACACCTGATCCAACTCTGCATAGGGTCTTGGTCGAGCGTAATCGGATCTTCTGATGTCATGCGTACACTCCACACCAGCGCAAGGCCGGTCTCGAGGCATGGCACCGTTGTTTTTGATCCTAGAGTACCCGCGACTCCCCGGGTTCCCCTCAGATGTGTACGGTATTATGACGCAAAGATCCGATTACGCTCGACCAAGACCCTATGCAGAGCTGGATCAGGCGTTGCACACTCTGGGGGTTATGTACTCTTGGTAGTATTAGGCGAGCATTGCTGGATGTCTGTAGTGTGGATCAGAAATTAACGAATACATCTATTTTGTGCATATCCATTTTGGTCTGTCTCACAGGCATCCCGGCCGACTGATGGTCAGGGAGCAATAAGTAGAGGCAGCCGTGCCGTCAATCCATCGCGACTCAGCATCGAATCCTCAATCCAGCGAGAAGCAGCGGCAATCGTTAACGATGACATGAACGCGGACGTGTTCGGCGCCCTGTCCACTGCACAGACGGAGGCGCAGGAGACGCACGTCGAGGATGTCGGATGCATGCGTACGTGCTGCCTGCCCATCTGCGTCAAGTGCTCGGCGCAGCACGATGCCGGTCTGTTGCAGCGCTGCTCGGCGTCGTCAGCACTCTGCCTGCGAGACCGATGCGGCTGTGGCGGCAGAACGGAAGCAGACTCTCCACCGGACGTCACCAGCACGAGAAGAACGAAATCGGTGTGGCGCGTGATCGGTACGTGCTGTTGCTACGTCGATACCGCCGAGGAGCCGGTGTACGCAATGCGACGACGCGGCGTAGTGCCACTCGCGGGGCTGTTCGTTGCTCACTTGGCCTGGGGCATCGTGTACTTCTTCATCATGATTATCAAGGTTGTGCTTGCCGGTACGGCAACGCTATACGCAGTGATCCAGGACTTCAACTGCTAGACTGTGCATGACCGTGAACAACACTGTGCGCAGAGATCCAGGGTTTCAACTGCAAGACTGTGCATGACCCTGGCCAACACTGTATGCAGTGATCCAGGACTTGTGAACTGCCAGACGGTGCATGATCGTGAACAACACCGTGTGTGCTGCACAACTAACATTATCCTTGCTCCAGACCAGTGCAGTTACTGATCCTAGCTGTACACCTGTTGACGATTTCTCCAAGTCTAGCGTAGCTGAGGCATGATCGTATTCGAGAGTTTGTAACCTGCGCTGGCCTTCTGACTAGCTATTGAATTTATCCTGTATTACCATGTTTGTATTCAAAGGTAACAAACGCTTTTTTTAAAGCCACCCATGATATGCATCCAGAGACTCCAAACACACCCAGATATAGAAAGAGAACATTGAACCTGATGACAATTTAAAATATTAAAGGCGACCATGTTCACCACGTGCATCTACTGCTTACACAGCTGCATAATGCCGTTAATTATTATTTTTAAAGTTTTACTTTTATTATTTTTTCGGCAACGCAGATGATGATGATGATGATGTTCACCTCATATGTCCTGCACCAGATCAAATAGGGTCAGTCTGATCGAGGAGCGCTTCAAAGCAAGAAGCGGAGTTACAGGCAGTCCATGTACTTTGGTAACGGTGTTGGTTTTCTGGCAGCTTACACTAGAGCCCAAGAACGTTGTTTCCAAGGGTTTAGCCTGGGACGTTCTTATTTTCAAGCAATCTGGCTGCATTCTTATAGCACGTTCTTAGAAACAATACGTACTGGATCATATGTATACCACAAGATGCCAGAAAACCAACACCGCCGTTCTTAGCTTTAGGCTGTGGCGTTCTTTTAAAAATTTCAGGCTGGACGTTCTTGAGCTCCACGTTCTTCAGCGCGCGACTCTACTGTATGTGATACATATGTATATGTATGTTATATCTCCTACATACAGTCTAGTAAGTTACAATTTGGTTTTAAGAACGTTCTACAAGAACGCACGCGACCACAAGAGAGAGAGAGAGAGAGAGAGAGAGAGAGAGAGAGAGAGAGAGAGAGAGAGAGAGAGAGAGAGAGAGAGAGAGAGAGCCGCATGTTTGCATGCATGACACTTCACACCATCATTATTATTTCACATGCCAGGTCCCTGTCATCAACCCTGCAGATGTACAAATGGTGAGGCTCCTGTTAAAACACACACCTGGTCCTGGTCCTGGTAAACACTGCCATTACGGTCATGTGTCCCCTTGCGGGGCCGACAACATGGAAACGACGAGCGACGGCAGAAAGTCGGCAGTCTGCCGAGAGATCAGGGACCATGTTCAATTGGCACGACGAGAGAGCCATCTCTGGCAGCTATGGATTTGGAATCCACGAGTAGAGCGGCAGCACCGACCACAGGCTCCACAGTGGGCCTTGCAACATGAGAGGGCGAGCCGAACACGCGGCGGCGGAGGAGTCGTCTGAGCAGCAATGGTAGACACCGTCGCCCGGCACGGAGCCTGAAACGATGTCGCGGGGAGCGCCTGGGAGTTGGGGCACTTGTGGGCCACCAAAACTCCGGCACTGCGGAACCAGCGGATGCAGGAAGAACATTGTCAGCTACCCCTCTGTTCCGATACACACACCTTTGGACCTTTGGATGCCCATTGCTCCGTGCAATGATAGCATCAGGAGTTGCAGGATTTCCTGTGGCGAGTTAGATCGTTGGGCCGACGGAAGTCCTCGCCACAGCTGGACACTTTAGGATTTGGCACAGCCGGCCGGGGACGATTGCACATGAGGCGCCAGTCTCGTCTGTCCTGTGCCAAGTTGCACCAGTCACCTGTCACGCACCGAGCACTCAGATCAGCAGCGGCGATGTCCCTCCAACGTTTCTTGGGACCGTGTCTGGCCCTTGTGTTGAGTCTCTCGGCAAACAGAACGCCCTTGGGGAGACGGGAATCCTCCATTCGCCCAAGGTGGCCAAGCCAGCATAAACGGTGACAGCGCATGACCTCCGCCATACCGAAACGACGGGCTAGTTCCTCAGAAGAAATGCGCTCCTGCCACTGCTGGTCCCGTGACACACCCAGAATCACTCGGATGCAATGGTGATGGAATACCTCCAGCCGTCCAGGCAATGTAGCTGCGGGGCCTTCAACGTCCAGGTCTCTGATGCATAAAACAGGACCATCAAGACGCAAGCTTGGTACACATAGCGCCGTGTGCCAAGAGACAGTGACGTGTTGCGGAAGATGGGTCCGCTAGGCTGCCAAACGCACGCGATGCCTTTGCCAAACGGGATGCGATTTCATGATCCAGCTGACCATCCCCACTGATGTTGCTTCCAAGGTAGGTGAATTCATCCTGGCAACTGATAACGTCATCATCACCGAGGACAGGGAGATCTGCACACACCCGACCTGGTCCAACGGACATTGCCTTGGTCTTGGCGATACTGACTGTCAGGCTCCAGTCAGACGCGCATGAGATGAACTCACTGGCCATAGTGCACAGATTCTCATGTGAGGTGGTGTACAGTGCGGTATCGTCAGCAAACTGTAACTCAGTGACATCAAGGTGCTCAAGGCGACTCTTAGTTGTGCGATCGCCGACGAGCTTGCGACCCAAACGATAGCGCAGTGGAAAGCCAGGAACAGAGGAGATCGACCGCCAGTGGCAGTGGGCCACAACAGCTGCAAAATATATGTTTAACATAATAGGAGCAAGTGTGCATCCTTGACGCAAACCATTGCGGACCTCAAATTCCGAAGACCTGTCATTGCCGACACGAACATTGGCGAGCATAAGACTGGATCAAAAACGACATCTTTGGAGGAACACCGTATTTCTCCAGGACCAACCACAAACCAGCACGGGGGATAGAGTCATAAGCCTTTCGCAAGTCTACGAAAAGGATGTACAAGTTCGACTCATGCTCGATGGCTTTCTCCACGAGCTGCCGAGCAACAAAAACCATATCTACGCAGCCACGTCCCTTGCGGAAACCACATTGCGTATCCGGCAGAATGTCCTCGGCGATCTCCTCAAGACGATCCTGGATGATCCGCACGAACAGCTTACCTACGACGTCCAGCAGACTGATGCCACGCAAGTTGTCACAAACGTGAAGATTACATTTCTTCGGGATGGGGACAATTTGCGCATCTCGCCAATCACCGGGGACGCATCCAGACGACCATACCTGCACCAACAGCTCATGAATGGGACGCTGAAGAACTTCACCTCCACAAAGCCCAAGTTCCGGGAGGATGCCAGATTGACCAGCTGCAGAACACGCTCGAAATGCCGACCGAATCTGGCCCGGGTAGAGTCAATATCTGGCGTAGCATTCCCATTCTCATCGAGAACGGATGATGTAGCAGTTGATTTCCTCCCGACATGAACATCCTGCAACATGTTTATGCAGCGCCACCGAGTACGACCATCTTTCTTGGCCCCTTCTGCACGACGTTTTTTATTTATTTATTTTTTGTACTAAGTACACAACCTACTCGTCAGAAGGGGAGAAGACAACAGAGTATACAATGACAAAACAGCAGGGAGAGTAGGGGCTGCAAAGCAAGCCTGTGCTGGTGAGGCAAGCCCACAACACCGATCTATGGTCTCGGCGTTAACGTGAGCTTGCGCACCATAGCCTAAAAGAAGGGGGTGATTTAGTGCGATAAAGACAAGAGAAGGTGAGGTAGAATGGATGAGGAGAAAGAGGGAGAGAGAGAGAGAGAGAGAGAGAGAGAGAGAGAGAGAGAGAGAGAGAGAGAGAGAGAGAGAGAGAGAGAGAGAGAGAGAGAGAGAGAGAGAGAGAGAGAGGGGGGGGGTGGGGGGTGGGTGGGGGTGGAGAGAGAACAAGAAGAGAGAAAAATAGATTCAAAGGCAGTTCAGATGCAGTGAACATCATGCAATGCTTGGGGGGGGGGGGAGCTTCAGGATGGAAATAGTTCTGAACTGTTAGAGGGAGTCTGTGGCCCAAAGCCACTGGCTTCGGCGAAGATGGTAGTGGACGTTCGCTTTGAAGGATTGTAGGCCCTTAGGAGATGGTGGTTTGGTGAAGAGGGAGGATGGCAGCGCGTTCCAGGTGTTGATGATGTTGTATGGAAAGGCGCGTCTTAGGTAGTTAGGAGCGCCTGGAGGGAGAACATTTTCCAGTTGGAAGGGGTGTGAAGCAGACTGTTGGCATTGTCTCCGGGTTACAGGTGCGGCATGGTGGACGACGAGAGGGGGGACCATGGATCTCCGCAGAGGAGGACCTGGTTGGCCCAGTAGCTTGTAGACGAAAGTCAGTGCCGCCACTGTCCGTCGGGCCTCTAGGCTCTGTAGCAAGATGTTGGGTCCCAGGATGTGGAGGGCACGCCTCTGCACTCTGTTAAGGTGTTCAAGGTTAGTGGGAGCAGCTCCCATCCAGACAAGGGGAGCGTACTCGAGCAGGGGCCGGACGAAGCCGTGATACACGGCCAGCATGCCACGGCAGTCCAGAACACGAGCAGCTCTACGTAGGAGGCCAAGACGTGAGTTTGCCCTGGCAGCAACTGACCGGAGATGGGCGGAAAAGGATAGCTTGGAGTCAACCATAACTCCGAGGAGCTTGAGGTGTGGCTGTTGTGGGATGACCTCCCCTCCAAAGTTTATTGCGGGGACAGGCCAAGGCTGCTGTCGATGGCAGGAGATTCGTAGGAGCTGCGACTTGGATGGTTCAAACTTAACATGCCACTTTGTTCCCCATGCATGTAACGCATTAACGGAAGTTTGAAGACTGTCAGCTTGGACCTTGGTGTATGGCATCATCGCGTGTATTGACGCAGGCATACAGCGTGGTGTCGTCTGCAAAATTTTAATGTTCCCATTTCAGACCCTGGAGCCAGGCAGCTATCAGCATCATTTACATATACTAGGAACAGGGACGGTCCAAGGATGCTGCCTTGTGGTACTCCTGCAGAGATCGGATAGCGATCGGAGTGCGGTCTTCATGACCCACCTGTCCTTTGCATCCCGCACTGCCTTTGCAACAAGTCGCTGGTGTCTCCTGAAGACCTGACGGTTTTGGCGGGTGTCATTGGCTAGCAAGATCCGGTGGTGTTTGTTCTTCTCCTGAATGAACGGTTCCTGCTCATCACGACTCTCAAGGAACCAATCCGGCTGGGCACGGCCCTTATATCCGAGGACTGATGACGAAACCGATATATGCGGGTGACGAACGCGAGACCAAGACGAGTCAATAGACCGTATGCACGTTGTACAGATGTACAAAGTTCTGTACTAGGACCGTAGGTGTGTACAGACCCGGTTGGGTGTTCATTGTGTGCTATGCATGCACATTTGACCAATTTTAGCCTCATAATTAATGGCAAACAATCGCTTTTCCAGCTTTTCACTTTGGTTAGAACTAAAAACTAGCTAGATCTTAGTCAGAAAAAAAGTTTTCGTATGAAATGCCTTCAGAGCCCATTTCTTAGTGGAAATTGAAGAAACCACAATAGGGCTCTGCACATTCAACACCCAACCGGGTCTACGGGATTCTACGAGATTCTACGAGATTTCGTGCATCTGTACAATGTGCATAAGGCCTATGGTGTCATCCCCAGGTGACTCTTGCTGCAGACCATGACCATTTCCAAGCGCATCATCCAGCTTGGTCTGAAATTCCTTCCAGGTGTCACGATCACGCAGGTTGTGCACCGCCAGTCGACGTGGAGCTGACTGTGACTTGCGCGGGCGGGAGAAATCCAGTGCTAGCTTACTCCGCACCATACAATGATCCGTCCACACACACACACACACACACACACACACACACACACACACACACACACACACACACACACACACACACACACACACACACACACACACACACACACACACCGGTAATGGTGCTACAGGGACAAATTCACTGAGCATGCAGCAGCATCAGGGGATGGAAAGGCATTCTTGTGCAAGTGAGCATTTAGACTTTAGTGTTTCAGGGAGAATTCAACTTTCACAAGAACATGACAAGAGCACTTATATTCAATCAGTGTTATTTAGTGCAAAGGCACGGAGTAGAGAATAAATAGGAAATTTTGAAAAAAGTGCCAAATCGGCATAGCTATGTGCGTGTATGTACAAGCAGGGCAGGCTGAAGCAGACGTGAAGTTGTGATAATCAGTGGAAGTGAAGACCGTGCGGTGCAGAGCGTTACTCAAGCTGCCTTGGGATTAGCTTGATATTAGCGATAGGTTCGGATCTGGGCAGGAAAACAATAGGACCAGCAATCGGAAAGCAGTCACGTCTCGCGAGACAAGGCAGGACAACGGCAATGCACGCGGCGAGGCGCGCTGCCCGACAAATCAACACGCCACGGCTCAAGAACAATAACAGTATAGTACTCAAATGCGTGCACCCCTACTCATCTCTGCGAGTAGTGTGGTAGCAGCAGCTATAGGGCAGTGGCAGCAGTGACAGCTATTAGCACACGGCACAGGGGGGGGGCTTACGCTTCTGACTCGGTGCCAGTCAGCGAGGTGGTGGCGGCAGATGTAGTAACGATGCCGGACAGCGTATCCACAAACTCTGCAACGACAACGCAGCAGCCAGAACACAGGACAGACGTGTTATCCATAAGTTCATTACGGAGCTCGGAGCAGCCCTCCAGACGGGATTCTGGAGTTTGCTATCGCAAGGACAATGGTGAAGAACGACTAAAAAAAACCTTTTCTTTTGCAATGCGACGTGCAACATGTGACACTCGCGACAAGGAAATGCTTGTTGTGTACTGTCGCATGCAGTCACAAGGTCATTGCCGCAGAAGTCGACCAAAGTGAACTGTTGACGTCTATGGAGTTCAGCTTTCCAAACCAAGTGCACGTGCATGCAATATGCATCGTATCGGGATTTGGCAGAAACCCCAAAAAAGAATTATGAATCGCGGGCCGGGGGTCAATGGCTCGTCTCAGGTGTGGCATATCGCGCATCGCAATCCAGCTGCATGACAGTCGTGAACTTGAATGTTGTGTAGTGCATGTACCCATGACGGCCATTTGTTGGTGTTCTGACCGGTCTACGCCGACTATACACGAGCTAGATGCCCGAATCCAGATGTGCGGCAGTCGTGAATTTGACGAAAATCCTTCGGAACATGAAAAGCCTGAACTACATGTAGCTACCATACTACTAGTAGAATGACCGGATAGGGATTATGGATGCGCACACTTCGTATGCATCTCTGGATAGAAAAAGGCCTCTAGTGCAGTGCATCCCCCTGCTTGCGTCACAATGTGTGCTGTGACCAAGAGCTGACCATCTCGAAATGAAACGTGAACATGGAGTACAGAACGTCTCACGCTCCCGAGCTGACGTCTTGTGATTGCAAAGCTGATGTGAGAACTCCCAGTACATTGAATTCGGCACGGCGCTTTCCAAGGTGAATTACAAGAGCGGATAGAAAGGAATCCAACCATGCATGGTCCGCCAGATATTGGTACATGCACATGTGACCACACAAGCGAACATGTGTGTGTGCGCGCACACACACACACACACACACATACACACACACACACTCACACACACACCAGAGCCTTACCGTGGTAGTTCATCTGGCCATCGCCGTCCAGAAGACGGTCGTGAATCAAATCTTGTACTAGACACAACGCAGTACGGGCAAGACAAACCACCAACAAAAGAAAGGCAGAAATGACTCTGCTGGGCAATGTAATCAACTACGTCATAACTCAGTACGACAGTGTACACGCCTGATGGGATAATAGTGAAGAGCAAGGAGTTCTTCATCAGCAGTATACATGTACACTGTGTAAGCTAAGACAAACGTTAGCGTATTGACAGAAACTTTCGCCGCGATATTTTAGACGCAAAAAAACACACAGCTCTGCACAAATACCAGCCCACTGCAAGCAGTGGCTCAAGGTCATCGCCTCATAAACACACCGAGCTTCCCGGAGAAATTCAAATCCTGGCTTACTTTTCGTGTCCTCCAGATCATCCTCAAGGCCCGAGAGGAGATGGCGGATCTCGCTGGCGGCGATGAGGCCGCTGCTATCGCGGTCAAACTGCCGGAAGGCTTCGATGACCTCGGCCGGGCAAGGTCCCTGGCACACCTCATCACCCAGGCCTTCAATGATACTTGAGAATATGCTCCAGCGAATGGTTCCGGTCTCTGCACAAAAAGAGAGAAAAAAATAAAGAAATTGCGCACGCCTGACTGTTCAAAATCTGGTTTAGTTGGTGGACTCTAACGCATAACTTGTGCCGGAATGCTAGTGTACTACCATCTACCGTCGATACGCCTCACTCTAATTGCCGCCGCTCGTCGAATTCCTACCTGTGAGGTGACTTCAGCATGCACATCGAAAGACGGTGTTGAACCGATGCTTGAACTGCTGTACACAATACCGCGTGGGGGGGGGGGGGGATCAACGGCACTTTAGGGTGTGAACAGTGAAACATAGGGTGCTAAAAGAGGGATGTTGAGGTGTCAGTGAAAGGGATGTTGAGGTGTCAGGGGTCCTAGGTGTGGTACGGCTATGCTAGTGATCCGCTACACAATCCATTCATGATAACTGCTGTTGTACTGAAAGGTCCACAGATCCAGGGAACGTGACGAATGTTAGAAGGCTCACGAAGCAATTGCTACAGGCACTGCGGTCTCACCATCAGCATTGCTCTCAGCCATCACCACCCTCTCCACCTCACTGTTGGGTTCAAAGCCGAGGCATCTCAGCACCGATGGTAGGTCGGTGACGGATATCTCCGTTGGAGACGTGGAGAACAGCTTGAATGCCTCGTGGGCATCTGTAGTTGCGCGCGCGCACACACACACACACAGATACAAACACACAAACACACACACACATATACACACATACACACCATTGACCATTTTTGACCATTTGACGTCCATCGCCGGAGGCGATGATAGCAATGCTACAGCAGAAGCCAAAGCAACTTGTGCTGGGATTGCACCATTCAACAGCTTGCAAGGCTGAAGAATTGACCGCCACTATTCAGCCTGGTCTACACCACACAGCTATGAAGTGGCTTTTTCTGGCCAGTGAATCCCTACTTTTTGGTTTTTTTATTTTTTTATTTTTTCCCGCATGCACTGGCTGTTGGTAACCACCCAGGAGAATGAAAGAAAAGTCAGGAAGAGTCTGAGAAAGAGAAGAAAGACGTGTGTGACCATAATCGTCGGGAATCGAACCCGCAACCTATCGATTGGAAACCGCTGCACATACCACTGCACCATATGGGACACAGACACACAGACACACACAGACAGACAAGACATACACACACACACACACATACACACACATACATACACACATACACACACACACACACACAGTGACAGAAGCGTACACGCAGACAGTAGCAAGACATTGAATGCAGGCAGTATGAGCAAGTCGCAAGCAAACACAGCATTTCCTGGTAGGCGGTGTGAGAAAGACAATCACCATTCTTCAACAGGCAATAACAATGATCAAGGCTGAAGTCATGACGTATGTACGGCCTTGGAAAGGTGATATGCCATTGCTAGACTCTCTCTCTCTCTCTCTCTCTCTCTCTCTCTCTCTCTCTCTCTCTCTCTCTCTCTCTCTCTCTCTCTCTCTCTCTCTCTCTCTCTCTCTCTCTCTCTCTCTCTCTCTCTCTCTCTCTCTCTCTCACTCACTCACTCCTTTCTTCCCGGTTGCCGTGCTTGTGACTTTTTTTCCCCTGCTGCCGTGCTCATATTAGTTATCTAACTACAGCTGTATCTTCTTCTTGGTTCTGTTTGTCCGCTTATTATTATATTTTCTTTTCTCTTATTATCAGTGGGACCATTGTCATTAGGTTTAGGCCTGTTTTGGAACTCCACTTTAAATAAAGCCAAACAACAACAACAACAACTAGAAAAACACACAACTACTATGACTGTTGGAGAAAACAACCGGAGCAACAGCAACAACAGGAACGCAATGCGAGGGTGCTTACCATCGCGAAAGCTTTTTGTTGTTCGGAACAGCGACTGCGAGATTGAAGCAAAGCGACAGACAGACAGACAGACACACACGCACACATACACGCACGTGAACACACACGGACACACGGACACACACACACACACAAGAGAGCCGTGAGACAAAAACATTGTGGACTTATAAAGTGCCGAGTCCTTATGGTGACCCATACCAGAAGTGGTTAACACTAGCTGGTCATTCAGCTGTACCAACGTAACTGGAATCTAACAGAGTGTACAGGAAACTGCAGTTGGTCATAAGCCAGTGGCAATACATTGTATAATATGGGATATCAATAAGGATATTGCCAAGATTCCATAAACAAGAGTATGCAACTGTGATCTCTTTTCTATGGGCCAGATGCGCGGCGCGCTGCCTTCATTACATCATTCAGCTTCAGTCCGCGCCCTGCGGAAAATCAAACACCGCACTTTCTCTCTGGTTTGAAATGAACTTTCGTACGGAACTTGGAGTTCACGCGCCAAAATTTAGAGATCACGTAGGTACTGGAACGATGCGAGCAAAAACGGATGGGCTCGTACGAGACATTGTGGGTTTGAGTGCATGCTTTCAGAGCGTGATGGACGCAAGTTACGTAATGAAGGCAGCGCGCCGCGCACTGACCCATAACCACAGTTGCAGACTCTTGTTTATGCACTCTTGATATTATGCGTAATGAAATTCGAAAAACTTGTTCACAAAGCGACACGAGATTTGAAAATCTGGACAAAAAATTCGCGACGCGTGGCGCCAATGTCGTATCCATGCTATTGACACGTGGCCTTTTAAGACTCCATGTGGCTAGATTGCCTTATTTATGTGTCTAACTATTTATTTATCTCTCATAAACGGATTCATAACTGCGTTTATTTTATGTTTTCACACAAGGCCTGGCGCCTTCCTTATTTAGCACACCCAGTTATTTCCTTAGCTGGCACCCGCTCTTTGTGCTGTAGTTTATACACATTATTAGTTACTACGGTTTGGTACACTGCGGCATGCGGGGCATCAGCTTCCTGCCCGTAACCATATATTGTTGCTATCGCCTTTCTAGCTCTCTCTCTCTCTCTCTCTCTCTCTCTCTCTCTCTCTCTCTCTCTCTCTCTCTCTCTCTCTCCCTCTCCCTCTCCCTCTCTCCCTCTCCCTCTCCCTCTCCCTCTCCCTCTCTCTCTCAATTTTCGTCTTCACGACAAGAAACGACTTTCTCTCGCTGGTAACTACCTTGTATCTGTTGGTCCATATGTCTAACCGCAAGATGTGAGTCTCGAGGAAAGGTATAGGTGTGGCGTGTGTGTGTGTGTGTGTGTGTGTGTGTGTGTGTGTGTTGTCATCCGTACTGTAGGGTCCCGTCACACCCCGACGGTGCAACTCGAGTCGGGGCACCCGAAAATGACCCCCGCAAGACAACGGGCGGCAAGGAATGCCACCGCCCCGCACCACGACGGTAATGGCTTGACAAATTCCGCAAATTCAAGACCCAATGACACGCAAACCCCGCGGCAAAGTCACCAAGGTTTCGGGCGGTTCGGGATACCACCGCCCGAGCCAAGCTTCGCAAACACAGCTAGCCGTCACGTCTGAGACAAATTTGGGCCCGAGTGCTGAAGCTAAGGCAACGAAAGAAGCTGGGTCAACAGCAGCAGTAACAACCGGACGAGGGAGTGGTGGTCCCCCCCCCCCCTCGGTCTGCCAACCACGCGGCAGTCGACTCTGGACTGGACGATCTACAAGACGGGTCCACAACTGAGATGACTTTGGATGAATACTTTTGTCGGACCGAGGGGAACTGGCTGAGGTTCGAAGACCAGGAATGGCACTGTACATTCCGGTATGTACACGTTCATGCAGGCGATTTCCGTCGTCCAGCATAGCAAACTGCATTCGTTCCGGAGGGCCACAAACCTCAGTGATAGAAAATGATCTTCTCTTGCTCAGTTTGCTCGAAAACGGCGACCGGCATCGATCATCTCCGATCCAAGGGACATCGAAAGAAGCTGGAGGCCGGTCTACAGCCTGAGTTTCTCTGCAGCTGGTACCGGTATGTACACGCTCATGCAGGCGATTTCCGTCGTCCAGCATAGCAAACTGCATTCGTTTCGGAGGGCCACAAACCTCAGTGATAGAAAATGATGTTCTCTTGCTCAGTGTGTTCGAAAACGGCGACCGGCATCGATCATCTCCGATCCAAGGGACATCGAAAGAAGCTGGAGGCCGGTCTACAGCCTGAGTTTCTCTGCAGCTGGTACCGGTATGTACACGTTCATTAGGGGTCAAAGGGGTGTTCCGGGTACCCGGGTACCCGCCCGTTAATCTCTGGTACCGTTAGTAAAAGGGTACTCATTTGGATTTCGATGATCCAGTCAGCACGGAACAACACCGCTGGGATCGCGCATTCCCGGCGGGAGTCAATTATTTACAACTCTACCCTGGATGTCTGCATTGTTGCATTTTCGCACCTACAGTAGTAGGTCTACCTCTGCAACTATCAGACACAAATCAATTTGCGAATCACAATGTGATATCAAAATGCAACATGAGACCAGATGAATTAAAATAATGATTTACATGTACATGTATGTAAAAATGCGTAAACATTAAACATGGCTGCTGAAGGGTACCCGTTAACCCGCCCGGTAAGAAAATTACCCGTTCGTTAGTTAAAGGTACACCCGTTTGACCCCTAACGTTCATGCAGGCGATTTCCGTCGTCCAGCATAGCAAACTGCATTCGTTTCGGAGGGCCACAAACCTCAGTGATAGAAAATGATGTTCTCTTGCTCAGTTTGCTCGAAAACGGCGACCGGCATCGATCATCTCCGATCCAAGGGACATCGAAAGAAGCTGGAGGCCGGTCTACAGCCTGAGTTTCTCTGCAGCTGGTACCGGTATGTACACGCTCATGCAGGCGATTTCCGTCGTCCAGCATAGCAAACTGCATTCGTTTCGGAGGGCCACAAACCTCAGTGATAGAAAATGATCTTCTCTTGCTCAGTGTGTTCGAAAACGGCGACCGGCATCGATCATCTCCGATCCAAGGGACATCGAAAGAAGCTGGAGGCCGGTCTACAGCCTGAGTTTCTCTGCAGCTGGTACCGGTATGTACACGTTCATGCAGGCGATTTCCGTCGTCCAGCATAGCAAACTGCATTCGTTTCGGAGGGCCACAAACCTCAGTGATAGAAAATGATGTTCTCTTGCTCAGTTTGCTCGAAAACGGCGACCGGCATCGATCATCTCCGATCCAAGGGACATCGAAAGAAGCTGGAGGCCGGTCTACAGCCTGAGTTTCTCTGCAGCTGGTACCGGTATGTACACGTTCATGCAGGCGATTTCCGTCGTCCAGCATAGCAAACTGCATTCGTTTCGGAGGGCCACAAACCTCAGTGATAGAAAATGATGTTCTCTTGCTCAGTTTGCTCGAAAACGGCGACCGGCATCGATCATCTCCGATCCAAGGGACATCGAAAGAAGCTGGAGGCCGGTCTACAGCCTGAGTTTCTCTGCAGCTGGTACCGGTATGTACACGCTCATGCAGGCGATTTCCCTCGTCCAGCATAGCAAACTGCATTCGTTTCGGAGGGCCACAAACCTCAGTGATAGAAAATGATCTTCTCTTGCTCAGTGTGTTCGAAAACGGCGACCGGCATCGATCATCTCCGATCCAAGGGACATCGAAAGAAGCTGGAGGCCGGTCTACAGCCTGAGTTTCTCTGCAGCTGGTACCGGTATGTACACGCTCATGCAGGCGATTTCCGTCGCCCAGCATAGCAAACTTCATTCGTTTCGGAGGGCCACAAACCTCAGTGATAGAAAATGATCTTCTCTTGCTCAGTGTGTTCGAAAACGGCGACCGGCATCGATCATCTCCGATCCAAGGGACATCGAAAGAAGCTGGAGGCCGGTCTACAGCCTGAGTTTCTCTGCAGCTGGTACCGGTATGTACACGTTCATGCAGGCGATTTCCGTCGTCCAGCATAGCAAACTGCATTCGTTTCGGAGGGCCACAAACCTCAGTGATAGAAAATGATGTTCTCTTGCTCAGTTTGCTCGAAAACGGCGACCGGCATCGATCATCTCCGATCCAAGGGACATCGAAAGAAGCTGGAGGCCGGTCTACAGCCTGAGTTTCTCTGCAGCTGGTACCGGTATGTACACGTTCATGCAGGCGATTTCCGTCGTCCAGCATAGCAAACTGCATTCGTTTCGGAGGGCCACAAACCTCAGTGATAGAAAATGATGTTCTCTTGCTCAGTTTGCTCGAAAACGGCGACCGGCATCGATCATCTCCGATCCAAGGGACATCGAAAGAAGCTGGAGGCCGGTCTACAGCCTGAGTTTCTCTGCAGCTGGTACCGGTATGTACACGCTCATGCAGGCGATTTCCGTCGTCCAGCATAGCAAACTGCATTCGTTTCGGAGGGCCACAAACCTCAGTGATAGAAAATGATCTTCTCTTGCTCAGTGTGTTCAAAAACGGCGACCGGCATCGATCATCTCCGATCCAAGGGACATCGAAAGAAGCTGGAGGCCGGTCTACAGCCTGAGTTTCTCTGCAGCTGGTACCGGTATGTACACGTTCATGCAGGCGATTTCCGTCGTCCAGTATAGCAAACTGCATTCGTTTCGGAGGGCCACAAACCTCAGTGATAGAAGATGATGTTATCTTGTTCAGTTTGCTCGAAAACGGCGACCGGCCTCCAGCCGTTCATCGATCATCTCCGATCCAAGGGACATCGAAAGAAGCTGGTGGCCGGTCTACAGCCTGAGTTTCTCTGCAGCTGGTACCGGTATGTACACGTTCATGCAGGCGATTTCCGTCGTCCAGCATAGCAAACTGCATTCGTTTCGGAGGGCCACAAACCTCAGTGATAGAAGATGTTGTTCTCTTGCTCAGTTTGCTCGAATACAGCGACCGGCCTCCAGCCGTTCATCGATCATCTCCGATCCAAGGGACATCGAAAGAAGCTGGAGGCCGGTCTACAGCCTGAGTTTCTCTGCAGCTGGTACAGGTATGTACACGTTCATGCAGGCGATTTCCGTCGTCCAGCATAGCAAACTGCATTCGTTTCGGAGGGCCACAAACCTCAGTGATAGAAGATGTTGTTCTCTTGCTCAGTTTGCTCGAAAACGGCGACCGGCTGGAGTGTCCTGCAATTCTCTTTATTTGAAATACCAGAGATCTTATACATGTTTTGATGTGTTTCCTCCCATACAGTGACAACAAATGGAGGACCTTGACCGAGATCAAGTCACACGTCATAACGCCCGCCCATATCAAGAACTATCTGCAGAAACTGGAGAACTATTACGGGGAGCTGCCTACTAAGAGCGTAATAACCCTCACTCAAGCAAGCGTCGGGATAACTGATTTATAATTAAACAGTTTTAAAACGAACATATCTGTGCTAAATGTTTGTCTGGATGGGGGTCGAGTACTCATTCGATTGCATGTTCCGAGTCGATGGGTTTGGCATGTTGAAGTTCGATGTGATTGACGTAGTGGGTAGCTGCAAGTTCGTTGAACAGAGCGGAGGCAAACGTATGGCAGTTGTTTGTTACGTTGTACGAGAGTGGAGTCGTAGAGGAAATCTATCATATCCTGCAGATTTACATGTGATTGGTCAGCAATAATCTCCTCTATCGGAGTTTTTCGATTGGTGCTTCGATAGGAAGATCTCACGCTTGAACGAGTCTTGCCTCTGCATATGCTGACACCGTCGGTGGTTTTTACCGCCGGCCACCACCAGTTTGTCGTTTGAAAGACGGCAAACGCGTGGAAAGCAATCAAATCCGTCGGTTGAAGGTATCACATGGGAGTTTTGTAAATGTCCGCCCAGACGGCGGTCTCTTCACCTACGAGGGGTTTGAGATAGGTTTTGATATAGGCGCTGTCGATTCTCCACGCATCTTGGCCGATTTTATTCACGTTCGGGTCCTATAGTTTTATTTTTACTTTCGGACAAAATTTGAAAAAGTTTCATGAAAGGTCCGTGTTATTTTAAAAACAGTTTCATTCATTTCCACCTTGCCAGTAAACTCAAAAATGTAGCCAAAATGTAGTCAAACAATTTATACAATCATCAAGAGTGCATAAACAAGAGTATGCAAATGTAGTTATGGGTCAGTGCGCGGCGCGCTGCCTTCATTACGTAACTAACCTTCATCACGCTCTGAAAGCATGCATTCAAACTCACAATTTCTTGTACGAGCCCATCTGTTTTTGCTCAATTCGTTCCAGTACCTACGCAATCTCTAAATTCTGGCGCGTGAACTCCAGTTCCGTACGAAAGTTCATTTCAAACCAGAGGAAAAGTGCGGTGTTTGACTTTCCGCAGTGCGCGGACTGAAGCTGAATGATGTAATGAAGGCAGCGCGCCGCGCATCTGGCCCATAGAAAAGAGATCACAGTTGCATACTCTTGTTTATGGACTCTTGCAATCATGTACAGGTGTGTGTGTGTGTGTGCATTTATCATGCATGGTCCACACCTTCATGATTGTACAGCTCTCGAGACTCCACAGCCTCTACAGCATACGGTAATACCCCCCCCCCCCCCCCCCCCAACACACACACACCATTCTCCCCTCGCCTATCATTCTACAGTGTTGTAATTTCTCCTAGTTTTAGAGATGTCTGACAAGAGCTCAACACAATTTCTTCGCTGACTGCAGACATCAAAACTGTTGCTCGTCTCACCATTCTATCTGTTAGCAGTCCATCCTCGGCCTCACTGGCAAAGACTGCTCAGAGCAAAAGTCTTTCCAAACTCCAAGCGTCGGAAAGGAAATGATTGTACATCAGCACTATGTAAAAAGGCCAACAGGCTACACACGCAGCAAAGACACGTAATTTCGTAAAGCAAGGAAGGAAAGACGCTGCTCATCAGCTAGCTCTGCGCATGCGGTGAATTCTGAGAGATATTTTCGCCACAACACAAGCCAAAGCCTTGGCAACAGGGCAAAGCAAGTCGAACGCTCCTTACTGAGTAGAAAAATATCATACCGTGCAAGCGTGACAAGCATAAAAAGTACTCCTTGCCACATCACTCAGAAGTCAGAACTCAGCGCGACATGTGGCATCAAGAGTTCATAACCCGGTAAAACCCCCTGGGGGTTATGAACTCTTGGTGGCATGATTACGTCAATCAAACAACAAACAAGAGATGAGAAAAAAAACTTTGTCAAAACTACTTGAAATGCTTCCAAGAATCCAGCCCATGGCCCAGCCAGGCAAAGCTTTTTTCAGCAGCTCCAATCCTGCTGTTTGTTTTGGAGAAACCGTAGCTGTAGGCGCGCGAAGTAGACCCGCATAGAAGTATTGCGCTGTCTCAGTTTATCGGTGGTGGAGGTTGGTCATGGCTGCGGAATGACGAGATTGATTAGGGAACTTCAGGGTATCAATTTTTGAATTTTTAGAGTTGTACCCAAATAATTGATCATGCCTCCAGGAGCAGAAAGCCATGCGGGCTTGCCTCGGCACCCGCTTGACGAAGATCATGGCGTGGAGCTGCAGAGAATGGCAATTTTCATCTTCATCGTCATCCTGCTACATATCGCTGGTGTTGTATCCTTGCGCACGGCTATTTCCATCTTCATCACATCGTGCTAAATTAGCGTTTGATCTTCTAGTGAGGCAAATGGAGTTTGGAGTACAAACCATGTACCGATACATGCGGCCGTAGGGAACACAATGCATGACTGTGCTAGTTCTCACAGTCTTGAATTTTTGTATTTTTTGTATTGTAAAGTTTACATCGTGGCTGTGGATCAAACTGACCATTCTGCCCAAATTTAATGATGCCGCTGGTAAAAAAATTAAAAAAGGAAGGCAGAATATTATAAATTTAATTACAGCAATGGAGCTTGCTTGACAATCCTAAGCTATGGAATGTTTAGTCTGCAGTTTATCGGATGGAAGCTTCCTCGAGTCGTGAAAGTGCATGAGCAGCGCATTATAATTTGGTTGCACCTACAGTCCTGCTGAATTAAATCTGATTGCGTGAACCAAGCTTGTGCTCTGGGTCAGTTCACGTTCCAGTGTTCGTAGGTCTGGGGCTGCAAAGCACCTGGCATGGCGCTGACTCACTGCCGATCGGATTTCATTGATCAGCACTGTAGTTGCTGGTGCAGCAATGGCAGGGATGGGTTTCAGGAGTTTATGTTGATACAAACGTATGCACATAACTGCAGGTGGAATCCTGGACTTTGAGTTTGGTGTAATTTGAATCAATCTGTTTAAACAGTCTGTATGTTCGCATATTTAGAAAATCCAGAATTTTATAAGCTGGCGGCGACAATTGTACGTTTTCTGAGGGGTTGAACTACAGTCAACTTCGCTTATAACGACACTCGGCGGGGCATCAGAAAAGTGTCCTTATTCGCGAAGTGTCGTTATACCCGAAGTCTCATTATGTATTACAGTTAGATGGGACTTTGCTCTGGGCATGGGAATTCTGTCGTTATTCGCGAATTGCTGTTATGTCCGCAGTCGTTATTAGCAAAATTGACTGTATCTGATTTCCACTTGTGGAACTCATCCTCTCTGCTTTTATCAGGGCAGTGTAGGGTAGGAGCTGCGACGAACTCGGCCATTTGAAATTTTGAAACACTCCACATTGTGCTCCTGGCCCACATTCATATCACTATACTCTCTAGCGAGGAAATTCGTTTTTGGGTAGATGTTGCATATCCTCCAGACAGCTGTTTCGCTCTACCCTTCTTCCCCGGAACGAATTTCCTCGCTGTTGAGTATGGTGTTGTGAATGTGGAGTGGTGGAATGTTTCAAAATGTGATACAGGGTAATGTTTATTATTGTACACGTGTGATTGATATGCGTTCCTGGAAAAACATTGTGTGCAGCGTCCTGCCATTTTGACTGTGTATGATTCCTTGACTAGTCCTTCTGACACTCAGGGCTACTGGCTGTTGATAGCAACATCCAATGAGCGCCGGGACGCGAGGCTGAATCGCCTGAAGCGGAAAGACTCGGATGAACACATCCAACCGTAGACCGTGGGCGACTGGTATTGCGTGATGGATAGGCCTACTGTTTGAAAGTGAGTCTTGATCTTCACAACAGCTGTGTGCTACGTACACCTGTCAGCTCCCAACACCGGAATGGCTACGTGCTCAGCACAGGCTTGCGTGGACTAACTTCAACAGCACGGCAAGCGCAATATGCCTGCATTGCCCAGCCAGCGCTCCCGGCCTCTCTCCGATGCGCGTTCTTCCCGTGTGTACTGTTGGGACGTGTGTTGAGCGCAAGTGGCTGGTGCTCGGTACGCTCGGTACCTGTGTTTCGTGCCGATCTCGGGGTCATCTCTGCCCTCTGCGGTCATCCAGTCCGGCATCGAGCGTATTGGCTCTTTTCCCCGTCGATCCAGTTCAACGCTGTGCGGATGGAAGGATTACAGGCTTGTGCTCTGTGCCAAAGCGTGCAGACTCACGATCAGAGGATGAGTCTCGCTACACGACCTGCCCCTGGTACGCTCGTTCCGCACGCAGACCGGACGTGACGTATTTCGTTATTCCCTTGTCTGGGCATCAAACGCAGCAGTGTCCTGGTGTGGAGCTTAGAGTTTCCACGATTACTTTGCAGTTGGATTTACTGCCTAGCCTTTGTAGGGCAAGCTGGATTTTACAAGCTTATCTGGCTCTGTGTTGCCGTGAGTTCCGAACAAGGTCACGGTGGGTGCTACGTGCAGATCATGATAGTGCTCCCAGAGTCTACTCTTTAGTTGGCGACTTTTACTATTTGTTGGTGTTGTTGTTTTGGTGGTGGTGATGGTGGTGATAGTGGTGGTGATAGTGGTGGTGAAAGTGGTGGTGGTCGTGATAGTGGTGGTGGTGGTCATGGTGGTGGTGATTGTGGTGGTGGTGACGATGGTGGTTGTGGTGTTTTCGGTATGTTTATTACCTAGAATATCTTTGTACCCGGACTCGGTTTTTATCCTCTATGCTAGGTTTTTATTTATTCCCGGCAACGGCTGGTGTCATCGAGACATTTTTGAAAATTATTTTTCTATCAACTATTATCCGAAACATGGCTATTTTTTTATTCAGCAGGACTTGCGGCAGTGCCAATCTGAGACTGATTTGTGTTGTGTGCTGCAGTAACATTTCCTCAGACCACTGCTGTAGTCTACATATGGTAGTACACTCAAACCTCGGTCACCTGGACCCTGAAGTTACCGGCACGTCGGTCAACCGGGCACCCTTTGGGAGAGTTTCAATGGAAATTGTACTACTCTTTTGTCACTTTTTTGTGGAATTAGTGACGTCATAATTATCCCTTTGGGCGAGTTTCAATAGAAATTGTACTATTCTTTTGTCACATTTTTGTGGAACTAGTGACATCATAATTATGCCATATCTATGGCCTTTCCCTTCAATATTTGCCAGGCAGTACAGTCATGTATCAACCAAAGAAGCAGTAAAATGCAAGCATCCGTACTCTTTACTGCCTCCGTGTCAACAGCCCTATCCCTGTATATGTGCACTCCTAATTACATCTTTTATCGGATAGGGCTGTTGACACGGAGGCAGTAAAGAGTACGAATGCTTGCGCTTTGCTGCTTCCTTGGTTGATACATGACTGTACTGGCAGGCAAATTTAACGTAACGGATGATTGTGTAAAGGTGTGTGCATTTGTGCGCGTGCCCGAGACACCAAGGCAACATTGAACTGTTTTCAAAGATAAAAAAGTCTCGATATTGAGAAACGGGGCAATTTAAAAACCTTCAAATGACCTGATCTCTCCAGTACTCCATTCTACACATACCCCTATGGATACAGGATGTGTGCAAGATTTTATCCGAATGGAGATGGTGTGGAATACAGAATACTGTGCGCTAGTAGAATCAAACGGTATTGGCAATCTAAAAACAGGTTCCGGATGTTGAATTCTCAAAATGTGCAATCCTCCACATATGAAAAGTCAAAAATAAAGGATATAATTATAAACAGGAGGTGAATTGAAAAATTATCCCGACATACTGCCAAGATCTCTCAATTTTCTATCAAGCTAACTTTCAGCTCTCAAAATCAAGAATACAAGAAAGGATGTGTACAGAAGTTAGACCTGTGTGAAATTTCAAATGGTTACTTCGAAGCATGAACAACAACATGAGAGGAATTCTTTTCAAAATCAATGAGGTCTGCGAAAACTAATACAAGTATCAGCGGATCAAGATTCTTTGCCTATGTGCACGCTATGTACGCGGCTCAGATGAAAGTGTGTAATATAAACTGCTACAGTCATCATTCTGTTTCCCAACACAATGAGACCAGTCTTAGAGAGCAACAGGTGCATCATGGTCAGTGCTCTGTTCATCTCCCCATGCTGCACATCGCCACATTGACTCAGTGCGGTTTGTAGATGTCGACTTGAACTGGCTTAGCGATCCTTTCAAACCCCATCCTTTCAGGGATGCTTTTGAAGCACTGAAGTTGCTGGAGCATTGGAGCCAGAGCACGCGAAAAAATACGGTAATCCGGCTGCACATGATTTTGAGAAAATCACACTTGAAGTCAATCAGATGTTTTCCGGCTGTCCCGTTCAGAATGTGAACGGCATTGGCGTTCAGTGAGCTTGAAATCCAGCTGGCCGTTGGGACAATCTCTCACAGTCGCCAACAGGTGTCTGGTCTGTGCACAGAAACACCTATTCGCTGCGTGGCGCACAACGGACATTCCCCTGATCCGCTCCTCTCCTCGTGGCCAATTCATGAGTCCACTGTGCAGGGTGCATATATAGTATACAGCACGGCATGGGGAACTCCGCGAGCTCCTGGGAGTTCGGCTGGTGCGGGTGTCGGCCACCGGCTGCTCCCGATGCCCAGGTGTACGCACGCCATGTGGCCAGTGGAGATCTACTCAACAATGTGACAGGGTAGTGCGAGTACAGGTGCCTCGATAACACTCTGCCGTAGGTCTGAACAGACAGTACAAAGAGGATCAAGAAGAGACAATAATAATTACGAATAGCTTGATTGCAAAACGCTGTACAGTCAACTTCGCTAATAACGACTGCGGATTTAACGACAATTCGCGAATAGCGACAGAATTTCCATGCCCATAGCAAAGTCCCATCTAACTGTAATACATAATTATAATGAGACTTTGAGTTTGACGACACTTCATGAAAAAGGACACATTTCTGATCCCGCGCCGAGTATCGTTATACGCAAAGTTGACTGCACATGTATATCCATTTCATCACTTTTCGGGTGATGGCCAAAATCCAAGTACTAGTAACCGTTCTGACTCGAAATAGAAATCGTTACAAGCTAAACGAATCGAGTATTCGAAAAAGTTCGATTACTCAATTGTGCATACAGTATACATGATTATACACGTATGACTGTAAATCGACCGGCGATGCGCGAGAAAAAATTCTTCTCCGCAGGATCAATTTTCAAGTCTAAATTTCGCATTTTTCAGCTTCCAATACTGCTCTTATCAGTGGAAGAAATAATCGAAAAATGACCGATAACCGATCGATAAAGGTTTCGGTTCAAAGTATTCAGTAGTCAAAAAGTGTACAAGTAATCGTTTCACCCCTAGTGGCAAGTCAATTGTTGTTTTTTAAATGATTTGGTGACATGATTACGCACACGGTGACTGTACTGAGTGCATCTGTGAAGTATATGAATATGAAACCAGATTGGGGGAAATGGAAGGGGACTACGAGCAGCATGGCACAGGCGAAACACAACAGAGACACGTTGAAGTACACTGGATGCTGCCGCCGCTGCTGCTCAGTTATCATGCTTACCGGTATACGCTAGGAGAAGGGCTTCCGACTGGGTGCTTTTTATGGACCTGTAGAGCTCCTCTTCCAGTGTGGCTGGGTCCTTATGCCCGCTGGTTCCTCGCCACTGCAGCAAGCACAGCTCGAGTGCCTTCACAGGACTGCGCGTTTGGGCGAGGAGGCACAGGGCATCCGGAATGCTGAACTTCAGCTCCGACGCGATGCAGCGGAACACGGTCTCGGACTCTAGCAGGCAAGGTCGGCGCTTCAGGGCTAGTGTGAAACGATTGATGATGCGATCCAGTGTGTTCATTGCCATTGGCTTCACCCCTACAAAAAGAGCAACGAAGAAACAGACATGTGCACGGTATAAACAATCTCGACAGCCTGATAGGTGTTAAAGTTGGTTGTACATAGTGAGAAGAGTGCTCATATTCTCTGATTGACCTTCTCTGCACCCCCCCCCCCCCCCCCGCAAACCGAAGTCAGGAGGGTACCCGCGTGGAGATCTCCTTTTGATGGTGTAGAACTCTACTTAGTCGTTTTCCTCAGCAGGCATATGACCTTTTAAAATAGAGGCTGCTGGAGAAAGTATCATATTTCCCCAAATAGAAGGCACAAACGTCTTTCACAAACCTCAAGGTCGAACAAGGGAGTGCCACTTACAATCGAGTATGACTCACGTCTTTACTGAAGTGAACATTAGAGACCTTTTTGCATTCCGAATTTCGGAATGTTTTTCGACTGTGCTTTTCCGAGAAAAGTGCGTGCCGAAAAACGCCATTTTCTGTTTTGCATTCCGAAAGTTGTTTTCGACTTCTATCGTTCCGTTTCCATGGGTTGTTATGCAGAGATAAAATGGCGGAAGTGCGCATCCGGAGCTACGAAATTTAGGGTCAGACGAGGCAAGCACTGTGGCAGTTTCCTCAAATCCTGTTGAGCCACGAACGAAGGGGTTGATGACAAGCAGAAGCTGCCTGCACATAGTCAAATCCATGTGCAAGTCAAACCGGACTTGTGAACGGCCAGCAGAAGATGGGGAGGGCACAAATCCTACGGCTGTTGCTGCGGGCGGAGGGGGAGGTGAAGCAGACGATGCAAGGTCAATGCTCCCGCTGCACTCCAAGGAGGGTGGAGATGGGGAAGAAGACGGAGTCGACATGCCTGGAGTAGAAAAGCAAACTGCACGCAGGCCTTCCAAATCCAAGTTTGAAATTGAAAATGTTCAAGCACCGAGCGCGGGAAAGAACATCAAAAAGCCGAAAAAGTACTTTCGCGAATAATGAACTTTCGCCACCAAACTTCCGAAAGTTTGCCTGCATTTTCGACTGTCCAAGTCAGGTTCCGAAAAATATTCCGAAATTCGGAATGCAAAAGGTCTCTAATGTGGATAGGAGAAAGACCTGAAAATGGAACGCGACTTAATTTGACACGGCTTAAAGTCGGGGGACTAGGGCAAGGGTGCTGCTTTTGACAGTGATCGAGAATGATGGCATTAACGCACTCTAGCGACTCCAGGCATACTGTACAGGCAGAAAAAATAGTCGGCGAATAGTTTCCGTCCAAGTCCAAAGAAAAGGAGTTCGTCCAGTTGAAGATCTGGTCCATGGAGCAAACGTCGTATTGAAAAGCTGGACAAATCGACTTCAGTCCGGCATTTAATTTAGTCCAAAAACGTCTTGGAATAAGAAGGCGAAAATAAATTCCAGAAGGATATTTCTGCTTCTGCAGTATAGCGGATAGAAGGCAAACCATGCATGCACTTACAGTCTTCCAAAGCGATGTCTTGATGAGCGGAAGCACTGCTGGAGTTTAAACTCGCTGACCGTGATGACAACGAGAACGAAGAAGACCGTGATAGTGACAGACAAACTTCGCTGAGATAGTCACCGACTTCCTGCGTGAGCACACGGCAGCAGCAAAGGAGGGAGGATCAGAGAAACAGTTGATGCCATTTGAAACTCCCCAGCCTTGTTGTGTTCAATGGACAATGGGTGCATGAGTCAACAGGCCCGTCGGAAGCACTTCAGGAGTGGTCAGGTGGATACTTGAGAACAGTAGCTTTGCCCCCCCCCCATATAACATTTCATCCATACTACATAATATATTGTATTGAAAACTAATTCGATGTAGCAATGTCTGGCTCACCACTGGTATTCTGGTTGCATTTCAAGCAGTGCTTTCACTACAATTCAAAGCAGATAATTATGCCGATGACTATCCCTGTGAATGTCACTGTTCTAGACTATAGTGACAAAACAAGCTACTGCCAGTTGGTTTCTGCACGTCACAAGTTTGCAAGGACCACGTCGGACGAAAATTGGTCCGGCCATGACCCTGAAAGCCTGAACCGGTCCGACAGCCTTGGTCAAACTCGACATGAAGGCAACAACAGCCACAGCATAGTGCCACTGATAGTGCAAGAAGAGTCACTAAGCCTGCAACTCCCACAGTGTACTCTCCTGCAACAATTACATGCATGCCAGGGCATGAACGCCAGGGCATGAACAATGCAGCCTGCCATGTACTTGTATCATGTGCTTGTTGATTCAATCCCCTCCCCCCCATGCTTGTTATGACGTAGTAAGGTTAGGTGCACGAAATTCAAAAAATTGTTTTCATCGCTAGATCTAGATTCCGATTGGCGACTTGCATACAAAAATGGACCAAAACAAATAATGCAAGGTGTAGTCTGTAGTCTTGTAGATCTACATCAACACTGCTATCTTCGTGTGATCGTAGAGTATCATGGTGTATGGCACACACTGTGACACAGCAAAAGCTCCGTCCGGGGTCCGAGTACTTACGCACTCCTCCTGGACAGGGGTGGTGCTGAACGGACTGCACTGATGCGCCGCTGTGCCTGACTCCATAATACCGATCGGAAGTCCGCGTGCACATGATATTGGCCGAGCTTCGGTTCTTCTGAAGCATATCCCATTGGAAACTAAGCACCGTGCCGCACGCTCCATTGGCATTTATTTATTGATTACTACTAGCTCCACGACGCCAGAATATGGCTGTTTTGGCTAAAGTCACTGGCAAGTCAAAGAGTCGATAAAGATCACTCAGACTGTGTGACCATGCCCTTTTATAAGGACGATGGAGGCGCATGGACGCGAAGGTAAACAATCACGGAAAATGTAGCTGTGGAGTATGTGGTGACTTGACGTGACCCAAACTAACTGCACTGGGCCACTTGAAGAGCCAAACTGCTGTAGTGTTGATGGTCTAAAATCAGCGACAAGTCTACAAAGTACAACTGGGGAGTGTGGTCTGTGGTGGTTTATGTGGTGGTCATCTTCTGATCTATCTATCTATGACCTCATTGTATCCGACTCGTCTCTTCACTTCAGTACAGGTAGCATATTATGGGATAGTGCAGTGGGGTTACAGCCTCCAACTCAACCATGTAGATCTACCATGTGTACCGGAGCTAGCTCAGGAATGGTGTACTGCAAACAAATGTCAAATCCTTCCTGTCAAACTCACACGTGCCACCCGATACTAGGGCTAGGGGCGCCCGGGCCCTGGACTGAACTGGTTCAGTTGGCTGTAAAAATGTAAAGAGTTACTATACTGAGTACAGTTTAGTTATCCAGTATCCACGTCCAGTGTTTACAATGACAAATAATCTGCGGCAATTGATATGTGTAAGTTTTCACATGCGAGCAACCTGGGCCTCGGCAACAACCTGCTCAGCCGACTCCGGATGCTGAACCGATCGCTCACGGAAAAGACCTCGTGAACCTCGCAAACACATGAAGCATGATCTCAACAGGGCAAATGAGAGACGGCACCGGATGTACATGTAAGATACTACATGGGAGTACTGCTCCTTCCTCCTGTCCGCTCTGAATAACGCGATTCGGTGATAGGGTGACCGGTGATGTAGCCGCTATTCCCATGCCACCACTTGCCGACAGCACAACAGGCATGAACGTCGCCTGCTCCACCTCTCTCATTCTCAAGCTCTACATGTACATGTACATGTAGGACTTCACAACCACGCCAGCCCGGGCTGGTCGCCAGACTTCCTTGACATCCGGGCGGCTATGCCTCGTTCCGGGATCTCGGCTGTCCAGGCTAGGCCCGCGCCAGCCAGACTGAGCCAGTTCAGTACAGGGGTGGCACGTGTGAGTTTGACGGGAGGGGCACTTGTTGTAAGTTACATCATAATACCTGTTATGACTGTGGCAAACTCCTCCCTGGACGCCACTGTCAGAGCAGTCACACTCCGTGGCTCACACCGCAGAGTCTGAGACTGACATGTCAGTGGACTAGACTGAATACACGTCAGTCGTCATGTCATTACTGCCGTGGAGATACATGTACATGTACATGTGCATGCACATGACTGTACAATGACTTATGACCGTACATGTGCTTGATAATAGACATCCTTAGCAAAAGTACGATAACGCTAACTTTTACGGTACTCACTCCCAGCCGTGACAAAAGACGTTATCGGATAACGGAAAAACGTTACAGAGCTCAAAATAACGGGCCGACGTTCGTTATTGAAATTCTGCAAAAAATGCAAAAACTCGCATTGTTTTGTAACTGGCGGGAGATAAAAAGCGTCGTGCAGATCGAGATGAGAGTCGAGAGATTGCTTCCTCTTGTGACATTTATTTTTGGCGAGTTTTGCCTTTCAGTTGACAATGTCTGCGTTCTCTGCTTCGTGCCTTTCTCCCTCTATCCCATCTGGGAAACAAAGGGCCAGTTCCACGGCACTCCTGAGGAAGAAATTCATCGGCCTCTCCCAGACGTGCTGGAGCTGGAGAACCCTTACAGTCTTCGGTGCTGCGTTTAGGAAAGGGTTTCCAAGGACCTGGGAACAGCGAAAACTCATTTTCGCCGTGCTTTTGCTATTCCAGAGTAAAAGACCTCGCCAAGGTATTCTTTCGGAACGACAGCAAACTAATCCCTGGTTGAAAATTTTGATTTTCCCGCACCTGTTTCCACGAAAATTCATATCGCCATGGTTGCCACGACTACTTCGTCTCAACTATAACGTACTTTGTGCTAAGGGAAAAGTCAGCTTGAACGATCCGAAGTACGGAAAGGTTTGCGTTTACGTTAGCGTTTTTTTAGCTAAGGATATCTAATGCATCCCGTGACATTACGTAATCACACCTGAAATCGTTATCAAAGAGACTTTGGACCGGATGACTCTAAATCCTCTATCCCATCTGGCTTTTGATCGCTTGTATCGGTGCACCCTTCAGTCCGGAGCTGCAGCCTCACCTCAATTACATATACATGTAAATACCTGTTCCACTGTTCCACTGACGCTCACTCAGATCAGGTCAAGAGAGCGCTCCATCTGAATCCGAGCTGCAAGGGCAAGCCTCGTCCCAATAGTCAATACCAAACGTCACACTACAAGTACATGATTGTATGCTAACAGTGTCAAGTCACAGTACAGTCTAGTCTGTGACGGTGCCTGTCTAGGAAAGACAAACAATAGAGGTCGACGTACAACTGTGGTCGACGTACAAAATTAATGTATGTGAATGGTAGTCCTCGACCTGCACCCGTGACGTCGAGTACCCTTGCGAATGACCAAGGGTCCTCGACGTCACGTCGAGGACCCTTGCGAAGGGTCCTCGACGTCTGTCTCACTGTCCAGGAGCGACACTGACTCACGCTGCTATCTGGTGTTCACGAGGTGTTTGTCGCGCTGGAAACGGAGCGTCTCTGTAAGTTTGTATCCCTGGTGATGTTTGTGCCTGGAGAGCACTATATAAGTGGTGCTCTTCAGGCACAATCTTCCTCAGCCTACTCAAGCTCAACTGATGAGGGGTGAATAGGCCTTATGCACATTGTACAGATGCACGAAATCCCGTATAATCGTGTAGAATCCCGTAGACCCGGTTGGGTGTTGAATGTGCAGGACCCTATTGTGTTTACTGCTATTTCCACTATGAAATGGGCCATGAAGGCATTTCATACGAAATCTTTTTCCGGCAGAGATCTAGCTAGTCGTTAGTTCAATCCCAAAGTGAAGAAGGCTTGAAAAGTGATCGTTTGCCATGAATTGTGAGGCTAAATGGGTCAAACGCGCATGTATAGCACACAATGAACACCCAACCGGGTATGTACACACCTACGGCCCTAGTACAGAACTTCGTACATCTGTACAATGTGCATAAGGACTATTCCCCGAAACACTGTGTATTGAGCAGGGAGTGGTGCTTTCTTGCAGGTTTGCCGAGTCGAAGGTTCGATGGACTTCTCGTGTGCTCTGGATGGCAGTCGTGAGTCAGTCAAGTGTCAAGTAAAGTCGGCGGAATAGCGCGAGCTCCGGTGTGGGGAGCAAACCCTTTCTTACAAATCATCGCCGAAGTCGCAACCACTACTTCGTATTATTATTATTATTATTTCAAATGGTGAACGGTACTATTCGGCCAATAAAATGTAAAGAACTCTTCCTCTTCTCTCCTCCATGCGCTCTCACAGCCGACTCACTGCTACCCTCAGTAGCCATTACACACACCAACCAAGGAAGGGTTGCAGGTAGATACTGAAATTCCTCCTGACAGCTGTTTCGCCATCATAAGGCTCATCAGAGAAGGTGATATTGAATAGGATGATATCATGTGGAGATGGTCAGATTTATACTACAAAACATGGGCGCAAGATTACGGGCAAAGTGTGAGAATGAGAAGTTACAATTCTCCAGCAACACAGTGCCAGGGGTTCCAAGAAAATTGCAGGTGAGTACTCCAATCACAAGCTGCTAACCTCTCCAGCAACACAGTGCTAGGGGTTCCAAGAAAATGGCAGGTGAGAAATCCAATCACAAGCTGCTAACATTAATTTTCTAACGGCTAGGTAGCAGTGAGTCGTAGTCGTAGCTAGGTAGCAGTGATTCGGCTGTGAGAGCGCATGGAGGAGAGGAGAGGAAGAGTTCTTTACATTATTATTATTATTATCATTTAAATAGGCGTCGAGGCGACAAAAGTTTTAGAATTGCGATCAACAGAACGAGCTGAACCGACATTTCACAGCTTTTATTGTAGTAAAAAAACGAGTGGATACGAAGGCAGTGAAGAACATGGAAGAAAGAAAAAATGTGATATGGAAGAAAATGATGAACAAAAAATCTTACTTCGAACTAGTTTTCGCACAACACTCCTCAGGAAGCTACGTTGTACTAATGAAAAACAATCCAGAAAGATACTAATAAAGAGAAATGGAGTGAGAAGAAACAACATCTATGAAAATGATAATCCTAGCACTAAGGTAATAACAGGAAAAAACTGCGAAAGCACTTAACGAACTTGTAAGGACTACTAGCATACTGTGACACAAGATATGACACCATGGCCAACCAGGGCCAAACAAACAGAACAAGCTGCTACTAAAACAATTTCAAACGAATAATGCTGTCCTTCTGGACACACAGATTAGGCTTATGAATACGTTGACAAACAGCTTCTAATACACTCAACTGCAACTTGTAACCATGACGAGCACGGCACAAAACAGAAAAAGAAGAATCAGAATAAACCTTGCAGCAATCAGGACGAGATACAAGTTGCTTATACACTGATGACTTCCTACTAGAAAACACACGCTCGCACCCACTCTTACTCACACAATCATTCTTGCTCTCACACTCACTGCCCAACATTTTCTTCAGAATTCGCAGTACGGATTCGCCACTACTTTTGTAGGCAGCATCTGGAGCGAAAGTGACAACTAGTGCACTATCCATCCAAGCAGCCCACGTGCGGTCGCAGCAACGCGCAACGGTCTTGGCACGTGAAAAGGGCGGGTCCAGTACTCCCTCACCGCTGTCCCTATTGTTGAGCGCTCTGGAATGTGTCGGTTATGGTCCATTCCGATTTCTAGAATGATTATGTTCTAGTGTGTCTACTGCATGTGTTGATTGCAGGAGGAATGGGATGCAGTAACATCAGTGAAAATAATGTACATGAATGGATCATGTCCACACGATTGTTGTGTTTGAAGAACACATGAATATGCAGGCCGTATCGACCTATCGACCTCCTATACAATATCGTCCTAGTACATGTACACAAGTAGGGATGATGTGGAATTTTAGCTGCCTTTTTAGTTCCGCTATGGGGCGGTTTTTTCCACCGTACTGCTACCCACAGTCGGCAACTTGTGGTCAGGCACAAGGGGTACATGGATGCGGCTAATAGTAATAGGGTTTCTCGGCACTTGTGCCAGTGGTTGTGAGACTTGGTGCTCCTCTCCAGTGTTCTACTGCCAAACGGAAGCAGCTACCACCCTGGTCGGATCGGCACCTCTTCCAGCTCACCCAGCGCAAGAATCGGCTGCATAGGCGGTGGCGGGGGGACAAGGCAAACGCTGCGCTCCACACTGCATTCAAGCGCGCCCGTGCGGAAGCTAGAAATGCATACCGACAGAAGCGAAACGCTTACTTCCAGGGACAATGTACAGCAAACGCAGGAAACACCAAGAAGCTTTGGCGTACCATTAACAAAGTCACCCGTAGAGACCGTCCCCATGTAGAACCCTCTTGTACGATCGAAGATGTCGCCTTAGCCTTCCACAAGGTGGTTACTGATGACTGTCGACCGCAAACTGTGTCTGCTCCCCTCGGGCCTCCACCCCGCACCTCCCTCCCCAAGTTCTCACATGTCAGTATCAGTGCTGTTGAACGGCTACTCCAGCAAGTTAATCCCTCGAAGGCAACAGGCAGCGATGGCGTACCAGGGGCAGTCCCCAAACTCTGCTCTGACGTCTTGGCGCCATCTTTTACTAACCTGTTCAATGCCTCGCTGTCGTGCGGACATGTGCCCTCGGCGTTCAAGCTAGCTAATGTCATCCCACTGCATAAATCTGGTGATCCATCGCTGCCAACTAACTTCCGCCCTGTATCCCTTCTACCCATACTCTCCAAGCTGCTAGAGAAGTTGGTTCAGAAGGAGCTCATCACCTTCCTGGACATAACAGCATCGTTACCAACATCTCAGCTTGCGTTCAGGCGTGGCCACTCTACCGAAGACGCATTAGTCCTTATGTCAAACCGCATCCTAACAGCCAAGGACCAGGGCCTATTCACAGTTGTGTGCCTGTTAGACATGTCCAAAGCCTTCGATAAAGTCCAATATGTCAAGCTATTGCAGGATATTCACAATTGTTGGGGTGTCCGGTTCTGCCTTGGACTGGTTCGCCAGCTACCTATCCGGTCGCACTCAACGTGTCTGTCTGGGGTCGCGGACAAGATCTATATCAGCTTGCACGAGTGGTGTCCCTCAAGGTTCGGTGCTGGGCCCCATTCTGTTCAGCCTTTACACCCGCGAGGTCCCCGCTGTAGTTGGCCAGTCCGAGTCAGTTCAATTCGCGGACGACATTGCGCTCGCGTACAGTCGACGAACAGGACAGGAGGTATCCGATGTCTTATCTGCTTCGGTTTTAATCCTTGCAGACTGGCTGAAGGATCGAGGCCTGATCCTCAATGCTGGCAAAAGCCAAGTAGTGCCAATTCCTGCCGGCCGTCAGCACACAGCTGATCTACAGGTCGTCTGCCATGCCACTTTACTGCCTAGTGTGCTAAGTGCTCGTTATCTTGGCGCCACAATCGATTCCGGCATGTCCTGGCACGCCCACATTGCCAAATGTTCTTGGCGCCACAATCGATTCCGGCATGTCCTGGCACGCCCACATTGCCAAATGTTCTGCACGCGTGTCGCAGAAGATCGGAGCACTCTGGCGAATGCGCCGCTGCCTGAATCACAAGCCACGCATGACCTAGATCGCTGATCATGTCTGACCTGCTGTATGCCTCAAACGCGTACTCTAGGTCACTGCAAAGAAGGCACATCGACCGTCTACAGGTCCTGCAGAACAGTGGGGCTCGTGCTGTCTTTGGCCGCCGTCCGTGGTCGCCTGCCCGCGACCTGCTGGAGCGCATGGCAGTGACAGTGTTCCGTGTGGCAGAAGTCTTCAATCAGAAGCTAGCATACCTGGTGTGGCGCTGTCGTTATGCACTGGCAAGTCCAGAGTTGCAAGCCCTGCTAACCCGTACCCCCGCTGCACCGGCCCTACTCGTCTGCCATGGGCCTGTGCGTGCCAGTTTCCCATTCGGTTGCGGGGCGAGAGCGCTTTGCCTGCAGGGGTGCTGTATTATGGAATGCCCTCCCCAGCGACATCCGTGCCATCCATCACGCTCGGCAGTTTCGCAGGCAGGTAATCCCCTATACCTGTAGGCTGTGCCCTGTAGATGCTGAAGACAAGCGAAATTTTCTGGTTTTTTTCTGTTCTCTTTCTGTTGTACCCGATCTCCCTCTGATGTACCGCTGACTCTACGCTGAAGATCTAAGCATTTTAATTCTCATTCTCATTATAATTTTCATATTCGCTTTCATGTTATTGGGTTCTATGCCCGTTTGAATTTGCGAATCAAAATAAATACAAACAAACAAGCCAGATATGGATTGGTTGAAGCAGGATAGATTTACCATCACCGTGGATAAGAGTCATACTGTAGCTCAGTTGGTTAGAGCATTGTTCGCGAATAGCAAGGTCCCTGGTTCGAGTCCCGGTGGTGTTACCGATGATTTTTTCTTTCTTTCATTATTCTGGCTTGCAAGTGTTGAGTTTCGGAGAGAAAAGAGCAGTACGTGGCATGTGGCCTCTAATTTCCTAACTCTTTTAGAGAAGATATTGGTTCGTTGGCGGGGGAGGGGTTTGGTCCCTGTTTGTCACGTCTTTGTAGGAAAAATATCGATCTCAGACTCTCTAGAATGATGTGGACGGGCACTATACAAACATGTCGTTCACTGGACATACACAAAGTGAAAATCAACTTCATAAATAAACACTGTACATGTAGCCACGGAGAGGTTGTGCGACCGTGGCAATCGCTGCCTGCTTGTCTGTCTTTTTGCTTACCAGTCTGTCTCTGTTTGTCTCTGCCTCTCTTTCTGGCTTTCTGTCTCTCTTTCGCTATCGTTCTCTCTCTCCCTCTCTCTCTCTCTCTCTCTCTCTCTCTCTCTCTCTCTCTCTCTCTCTCTCTCTCTCTCTCTCTCTCTCTCTCTCTCTCTCTCTCTCTCTCTCTCTCTCTCTCTCTCTCTCTCTCTCTCTCTCTCTCTCTCTCTCTCTCTCTCTCTTCTCTCTCTCTCTCTCTCTCTCTCTCTCTCTCTCTCTCTCTCTCTCTCTCTCTCTCTCTCTCTCTCTCTCTCTCTCTCTCTCTCTCTCTCTCTCTCTCTCTCTCTCTCTCTCTCTCTCTCTCTCTCTCTCTCTCTCTCTCTCTCTCTCTCTCTCTCTCTCTCTCTCCATCTCTCTCTCTCCATCTCTCATTCTTTGCCTCTCCCTGTCTCTCTCTGTCTGTCTCTCTGTCTGTCTCCCTCTCTGCATGTCTCTCTGGCTCCCGCTCTGTCTGCCTCTCTGTCTTTCACATGCAATTATCGACTTGAAAATTATCGATAGTATTGGATGGCCCTAGGACAACATGAGGACTGAATTAAACACACTGGTATAAACAAAGCTAGTATACATATAGTGGAGGTTTGCATCGTCACTCAGTACATGTAGTCAAAAATCTTGAGTTATCATAGCCACTCAAGTGAAAAGGTAATGACATTTAAAAAGTGACTCGAGACATATTCATGAGTACGCATGTTTGTGTGTGTATTTACATGTAACGTTATGTATATGCGCGTGTGTTTGTGCGTGTGTTTTGTGCGTGTGTTTTGTGCGTGTGTGTGTGTGTGTGTGTTTATGTGTAATGTCCATGGTCCACATAGTCTTGCAGGACCGCCATTATCTGTTATCAACGTGCACGTCATGAGCTTCGTCTGCTCTGTACATCACGGTGAAACAGCTCGAGGTGGGCTACAGTACAGAGCTGCGTGATCTTGCTGCAGCAGTATGATAGCCTGGTTCCGCGCTGTGTCATGCTGGTTAAATACAAACAAAACAAAATAAAAGATAACATATCTGCAGGATGCTCACACTGAATGGCCTTTTCTTTGTGAAATATTTGATCACGATCGGGGAGAGTACCATCTGCTCAGCAGTTGTGCCATCGCCAGCTATCAAACAGCTGACTTCTCAGTGCCACAAACATCTGTGCTTTTCTAGCGATGAGCCCGCAGCAGGCTTGGGTGACGGTGCGCCGATGCCACTCTCAAGGATCATCCTGGGCACTTGCATGCATCCGCGATTCCGCGTTGAATTCGCAGAGCTGGATACGACTCCGTGGCTTTCAAGTTTCCAGTGTCCAAAACGTGCAGGGACGGTAGCTGAGTCTGGTGATCATCCGATTCATTGTAGGGTCACCGTGATAGATGGGTCACAGTGTCGCTACCATGGTACTGGTGGCGCTCAGTACACTAGCTTGGCCAGCGCTGAGCTCTTAGTAGTCTTATCTTATGCATGGACTAGCATAATTAAGTAGTCAGTGGATGTGAGCTACCCTACTGGATCTGTAGTGCTGGAGCAGGGTGGGCCAGGCTCTTGAGACCGTTCGCTGTTGTTATCTGATTTCGTTGCCTGTGATCGGTCTCCGTTAATTTAAGATCATGGCGATCGTTCCATAATTTGACGTCTCACACCTGCGCAGGACAACAGGAAGAGAATGGCATTGTCTAAACATACGAGCCAGGAATCAAGGCGTACCGAGCAGCACGCGAAACAAGGCAGGGCATCACACAGTGAATGGGTATCAGCACCACACTGACTACTTGTAGGTCCATTACTGTAAAACCGGAAAATCTAACGACCAAAAAGTTTAACGTTTTTGTAATTTTGGCATGATAACGTGCAGAAAGTTTAACGATGGTAAGCTGGCCACCCATCTGTGTGCGCATCTTTACAGTTACACAGACATCTAGTGATAACGTTTTTTCAAAAAACGAAAAATAATTATTGGTCGTTAAAACGTTAGACTTTGTGACTCGTTAGACTTTCCGGTTTTACAGTATATCAACCACAGTCCATTTGCCTATCGCATACCCAGGCAGGGAGTACGGCCACAAATGTCATTGCCTGCGGGTGAATGGCGCGGGAACAGAATGCAGTAAAACCTGCCAAGGCGACCACTCGGATAAGGTGACCACCTGTCGCGACGACCACTGAAACCAGGACCAATGGATGCTTTTTCCCACTCAAATGACACTGGATAAGGAGACCACCTGGTAACAGAGACAGCGTTTTAAATGTCTCTTGAGTGGTCGTCTTAGACAGGTTTCACTGTACGCAGAACAATGGACTAGTTCAATCGGCAATCGAACCAGGCACTTTCAAGTTTAGCTGGTGCTTCTCTCTGAGGGGACCTGGACCGGATCAATCGTACTACGGCCCTGTAGACCTACGGGGAACAGATTGAACTCAAGACAAGAATACATGTGCATGTATCTACAGACTGGCAAGTGAAATCGCTAAAGGCCATCGGACTTCGCACCTCTGCACACGTAAGGGATAGCGGCCGTCGGCCGAAGCGCAGAACGTGCACAGTCATGGATTTCAGGGGCCTCTACTGAACGTGGGGGTCATGGTCGGGGTGAAAACCATGCCCATCACTGGTTGGTTGGTTGATTGGTTGGTATATTTTATTTTACTTGGCCAGAATGAACAGGCATTGCTGCCTTCTTGCCTGGACAAGTGGATTGTCCAAGCTCTCACAAAAATACGAAGAAAGGAAAGACACTGGTATATACATGTACATCTACACGTCCTCCTATCACTCCAATTATCTGTTTGATTAATTGCTACTTTCTGCTGTGTTCGAAATTTGATCCTCTCCTCTATTCTAAACCTTTCAACTTCTCGCGTGGTCATTGTTCCCCATTCTTCTGCTTTCCTCCCAGTTTGGTGCGCCTGCCATTCGAAGATGCCGAGACCTCTGGTCGATTGAGCATGGCATGCCCCACCAGCACCATCTCACCCCATGCTAGCCCCAGGTGCCTGGCGGTGAGTTGTGTATCTTGTCAAACAAAACAAAAATGTATGCACATGAATTGCACGTATCCTACCTGTGTATACGCGGAACAAGTTGTCTCTATAAGTTTTTTCAATTGCCTTGCTCAGCATTTCCTCGAGA